CTAAATATAACCTACAATGAGACTAACACAAGGCCTAATATGTTAGCATTTAGGTTCCAAACATTCACAATTCTTCTTACAGGTAAGGTTCCAGCAACAGAGAATCTCCCAAATGTGCTTAATTTATAACCGTTTTCCCATACGTACCCCCTATTCCTAAAAAATCCATGCACACTTAACGTTGTTGTAGAAATATGACCCAGGTTCAACACCCAGGATCATTAGCACATTTGAGAAGGATTAGACCCATGCTAGACTTTCCTTTTGCCAAAGCTCAATGGTACCACCTACTGTACAGACCAGTATTTGAAGCACTGAGGTAGCCTTCTCCACAGTTCACCTTCTATTGTGTCAGAGTGTTGGTTAAATGTGTCAGAACTCAGGTGGATATAGATTGTCCACTAATATATTGTACTCCTGAGTGGCGCAGTGGTCTAAGGCACTGCATCGCAGTGCTAACTGTGCCACTAGAGATCCTGGTTCGAATCCAGGCTCTGTCGCAGCTGGCCGTGACCGGGAGACTCATTGGCAGCGCACAATTGGCCCAGCGTCGTCCAGGGTAGGGGAGGGAATGGCCGGCAGGGATGTAGCTCAGTTGATAGAGCATGGCGTTTGCAACGCCAGGGTTGTGGGTTCGATTCCCACGGGGGGCCAGTATAAAAAAAATATGTATTCACTAACTGTAAGTCGCTCTGGATAAGAGCGTCTGCTAAATGACTAAAATGTAAATGTTATACACTACCAGTAAAAGGTTTGGACACACCTACTCATTCAAGGGTTTTTCTTTATTTTTACATTGTAGAATAATAGTGAAGACATCAAAACTATGAAATAACACATGGAATCATGTAGTAACCAAAAACGTGTTAAACAAATCAAAATATATTTTATGCGAAGAGTGTGCAAAGCGGTCATAAAGGCAAAGGGTGGCTATTTGAATAATCTCAAATATATTTGGATTTGTTTAACACTTCTTTGGTTACTACATGATTCCATATGTGCTATTTCAAAGTTTTGATGTCTTCACGATTATTCTACAATGTAGAAAAAAGTAAAAATAAAGAAAGATCCTTGAATGATTAGGTGTCCAAACTTTTGACTGGTAGTAATTAATATATATAAAATCTTATGTCACATGCTCCGATTACAACAGGTGTAGACCTGCTTACAAGCCCTTAAACCAACAATGCAGCTAAAAAAAATAAGTGTTAAGTAAATAATAGATAATAAAAAAAAAAAAATAAAAGCAGTAAAATAACAGTAAAAACTACAGTAGGGAGGCTATATACAGGGGGTACCGGTACAGAGTCAATGTGCGGGGGCACAGGTTAGTCGAGGTAATATGTACATGTAGGTATAGTTAAAGTGACTATGTGTAACCGGTGTGAAATGGCTAGCTAGTTAGCGGTGCGCACTAGTAGCGTTTCAATCGGTGACGTCACTCGCTCTGAGACCTTGAAGTAGTTGTTTCCCTTGCTCTGCAAGGGCCGCGGCTTTTGTGGAGCGACGGGTAACGGTGCATCGAGGGTGACTGTTGTTGATGTGTGCAGAGGGTCCCTGGTTCAAGCCCAGGTAGGGGCGAGGAGAGGGACAGAAGCAACACTGTTACATATGCATAGATAATAAACAGAGTAGAATGTTGTAGCCATTTGATTAGCTTTTCAACAGTCTTACAGCTTGGGGTAGAAGCTGTTAAGAAGCCTTTTGGTCCTAGACTTGGCACTCCGGTACCGCTTGTTGTGCAGTAGCAGAGAACAGTCTATGACTAGGGTGGCTGGAGTCTTTGACAGTTTTTAGGGCCTTCCTCTGACACCGCCTGGTATAGAGGTCCTGGATGGCAGGAAGCTTGGCCCCAGTGATGAGCGCAGACACACACACGTTCAAAAGTTTGGGGTCACTTAGAGATTTCCTTGTTTTTCGAAAGAAAAGCAATTTTTTTGTCCATTAAAATAACATCAAATTGATCCGAAATACAGTGTAGACATTGTTAATGGCTATTGTAGCTGCAAACGGCAGATTTTTAAATGGAATATCTACATGGGCGTACAGAGGCCCATTATCAGCAACCATCAGTCCTGTGTTCCAATGGCACGTTGTGTTTGCTAATCCAAGTTTATCATTTTAAAAGGCTAATTGATCATTAGAAAATCCTTATGCAATTATGTTAGCACAGCTGAAAACTGTTGTGCTGATTAAAGAAGCAATAGAACTTCTTGAGACTAGTTGAGTATCTGGAGCATCAGCAATTGTGGGTTCAATTACAGGATCAAAATGACCAGAAACAAATAACTTTCTTCTGAAACTCGTCAGTCTATTCTTGTTCTGAGAAATGAAGGCCATTCTATGCGAGAAATTGCCAAGAAACTGAAGTTCTCGTACAACGCTGTGTACTACTCCCTTCACAGAACAGCGCAAACTGGCTCTAACCAGAATAGAAAGAGGAGTGGGAGGCCCCAGTCAACAGTGAAGAGGCTACTCTGGGATGCTGACCTTCTAGGCAGAGTTGCAAAGAAAAAGCCATATCTCAGACTGGCCAATAAAAAGAAAGGATTAAAATGGGCAAAATAACACAGACACTGGACTTTTTCTTTGCAACTCTGCCTAGAAGGTCAGCATCCCGGAGTCGCCTCTTCACTGTTGACCGGGACCTCCCACTCCTCTTTCTATTCTGGTTAGAGCCAGTTTGTGCTGTTCTGTGAAGGGAGTAGTACAGGCCTCCTGTGGCTCAGTTGGTAGAGCATGGCGCTTGCAACGCCAGGGTTGTGAGTTCGATTCCCACGGGGGGCCAGTATGAAAAATGTATGCACTAACTGTAAATCGCTCTAGATAAGAGCGTCTGCTAAATGACTAAAATGTACACTACGAGATCTTCAATTTCTCGCATAGAATAGCCTTCATTTCTCAGAACAAGAATAGACTGACGAGTTTCAGAAGAAAGTTATTTGTTTCTGGCCATTTTGAGCCTGTAATTGAACCCACAACAGTTTTCAGCCGTGCTAACAGAATTGCAAAAGGGTTTTCTAATGATCAATTAGCCTTTTAAAATGATAAACTTGGATTAGCAAACACAACATGCCATTGGAACACAGGACTGATGGTTGCTGATAATGGGCCTCTGTAGATATCCCATTAAAAATCAGTCATTTCCAGCTACAATAGACATTTACTTCCACATTTTGTTACAGCCTTATTTTTTACCCTCATCAATCTACACAATACCCCATAATGACAAAGCAAAAACAGATTATTTTTGAAAAACTGAAATATCACATTTACATATTATTCAGACACTTTACTCAGTACTTTGTAGAAGCACCTCTGGCAGCGAATACAACCCCAAGTCTTCTTGGGTATGGCGCTACAAGCATGGCACACCTGTATTTGGGGAGTTTCTCCCATTCTTCTCTGCAGATCCTCTCAAGCTCTGTCAGGTTGGATGGGGAGCGTCGCTGCACAGCTATTTTCAGGTCTCTCCAGAGAAACTCCAAGCGGGGTGTCATGTGCCTTTTACTGAGGAGTGGCTTCCGTTTGGCCACTCTACCGTAAAGGCCTGATTGGTGGGGTGCTGCAGGGATGGTTGTCCTTCTGGAAGGTTCTCCCATCTCCACAGAGGAACTCTGTCAGAGTGACAATCGGGTTCTTGGTCACCTACCTGACCAAGGCCCTTCTCACCCGGTTGCTCAGTTTGGCCGGGCGGCCAGCTCTAAGAAGAGTCTTGGTGCTTCCAAACTTCTTCCATTTAAGAATGATGGAGGCCACTGTGTACTTCGGGACCGTCAATGCTGCAGAAGTTTTTTGGTACCTTCTCCACAATCCTGTCTCGGCGCTCTACCGACAATTCTTTCGAACTCATGGCTTGGTTTTTGCTCTGACATACACTGTCAACTGTGGGACCTTATATAGACAGGTGTGTGCCGTTCCAAATCATGTCCAATCAATTGAAGTTACCACAGGTAGACTCCAATCAAGTTGTAGAAACATCTCAAGGATTATTAATGGAAACAGGATGCACCTGAGCTCAATTTCGATTATCATAGCAAAGGGTCTGAATAGTTATGTAAATAAGGTATTTATGTTTTCTATTTGTAATAAAATTGCAAAACCTGTTTTCGCTTTGTCATTATGGGGTATTGTGTGTATACTGATGAGGGAAAAAAATAATTGAATCAATTTTAGAATAAGTCTGTAACGTAATGAAATGTGGAAAAAGGGAAGGGGTCAGAATACTTTCCGAATGCACTGTATACTAAAGAAAAATATAAACCCAACATGCAACAATTTCAACGATTTTATTGAGTTACAGTTCATATAAGGAAATCAGTCAATTGAAATCAATTCATTAGGCCCTAAATTATGGATTTCACATGACTGTGCAGGGGTGCAGCCATGGGTGGGCCTGGGAGAGCAATGGCCCACCCATTTGGCAGTCAGGCCCAGCCAATCATAATTAGTTTTTCCATACAAAAGGGCTTTATTACAGACAGAAATCCTCCTCAGCACCCCACCACAGACGATCCCGCAGGTGAAGAAGCCAAATGTGGAGGTCCTGGCTGGCGTGGTTACACGTGGTCTGCGATTGTGAGGCTGGTTGGACGTACTGCCAAATTCTCTAAAATGACATTGGAGGCAGCTTATGGTAGAGAAATTAACATTCAGCTCTGGTGGACATTCCTGCATGCCAATTGCACGCTCCCTCAAAACTTGAGACAACTGTGGCATTGTGTTGTGTGACAAAACTGCACATTTTAAAGTGGCCTTTTATTGTCCCCAGCACAAGGTGCACCTGTGTAATGATCATGCTGTTTAATCAGCTTCTTAATATGCCACTGTCAGGTGGATGGATTATCTTGGCAAAGGAAAAATGCTCACTAAAAGGGATGTAAACAAATTTGTGCACAAAATTTGAGAGAAATAAGCTTTTTGTGCATATGGAAGATTTCTGGGATTTTTTATTTCAGCTCATGATACGTGACCAACACTTTACATGATGCGTTTACATTTTTGTTCAGTGTATATACACACACACAGCCAATTTTACAGAAGACAAACAAAATGTTATTGTTCATTCTATTCTTAAAGGGCTTGACCAGGGACAAAGTGCTTAATCTTAGACAAATATAAACCTATTGTATATGTAGTGTTATACTATGCAAGTGTGAAAATCTACAGCAATTTTTACAGAAATCATCCTTTTACCATTTAAAAAATGGACAATGTTCTTTCATACAAATAGTCCCTTCAGAAACATCAACTTCAGCTGTTCTAATCTGATCTAAAGGCAGATATTTGACCTTGACACACATTTATGTAAAACATTGATGATTGCATATAAAGCAATTATGGACAGAGTTAATAAACAGGTATACACAAATAGCTTATACTTATCTCATCAACTAGACATGGCTAGATTAATCAACATGGCTGAGTATGATACGAGTGGTCCATCGATTGGCATTCTCCCATGTTTCTCCCACTGCATAACCACACACACTCACCGTCTGTTCTCTGGAGCTCAGCAAAGAATCAACACACTCAGGAATAATTCAGACAGCATGGATCTTACAACACATAATATATGTCAAAACATCAAATCAACAAGCTTTGGTCTAGTGACAGGAATTGTCCTGCAAACTTTCATTTCCTTCATTTGAAACTATGAAGATGATAAACAGATCATTGATTTTCCCCTCAACCACGGTCATTCAAGTTCCTTCATTGGTCAGGGCAGGAAAATTGCCCCACAGAGCCCTCTAGTGTTAATCAACATCAACTACAATCAGAGAGAAAGGATGCACCAATGAGTGAATGACAATAGCATTAATCTTTATACAGTATGTTGGCAACGTATGTGATTCAAGCCATATTCTGCTGTGATTAATTTAACTGAATTGACATTCCCTGTGACTGAGAACTTAATCTAACAATTCTGGATTGGTGTGTGTTGGCAGTGTAGTGCCTCATACTACAGTATATATTAGGTGCAAGATGTAAATAGGTAGTGCTCCAGCCTCTAGCAAAAGACCCCCAGATCTTGTAGGACAGATCCAGGACTCTTGGCTAAGCAGACTTCATAGTTATGTCACCTAATCTTGACTCAGTCTAAGACTTCTTTAGTGAGAAAAGATTGAAATAATCAACTGATATGATTGATCTCAGCGGCAGGCTGTATAATCTACCCTCAGCCCAAGTGCATGTATACCCGTATGGCCAACTGAACGAAGGTTAGTTCTGCACTCTCCCAACTGATGATTGAATTGTCATCTCCCATATATGTGTGAAAAACAACTACTACTTGGTCTACGCCAGAGGCTTCCATTATTTTAGAGTGTTTTGCTATGGATGCATTTGGCTATAATGGAAAGGGTCGGTCAAGAGGTGTGGGACCTGATGGTCAGGGCAGAGGTGGGGATGGGTCAGAGGGTACAGGTATACTGGGGATATGGAGTCAGTGAGCAGTAAACAGGTGTTGTAACCCCCAGCTTGTCCCAGCTCCTTCCATCTGCTACAGGTAGGTGTCATGCTCTGTGCTGCTCAGGCTCTGATTGGAGCCCTGCATGGCTGTGTCTTTGAGGAGGGGGGAGGGCTCGCTGGGTTCAGGGAAGGGGTTGGCTGCGACTGGGGTCGGAGAGTGGTTCTTCTTCCCATTCTTCTCCTCTTTGGTCTTTTTCCTCTCCTTGTACTCCCCATTGCGCTTGGTTGCCAGGGGCGACTCGACTATGATGGTGGGGTTCTGTCTCAGGTCTTGGTGACTGGGCGGCTCGGCGGCCATGATGGCTTTGGCGCCGTGCATTCTTGGAGGGGACTTGCAGTGCAACTCACCCCGGGTCTCCTTCCAGCGCCGCACTGATGCCAGGTGCTCCTTCTCAATGTTCCGCTCTGACACCGGCAGCTCTATAATCTGGGACAGAGCAAAAGGGGTAGTGGTTAACCATAGTGGTCTTAAACTCTTGTCAGCTTGACAAGGTAGCAGAAATCATGACTAATATCATACTGTTTTATTAAAGTAACACTTTTTTTCAGTTTACACCATAGCCCTTAGCATGCAATGTGGCCATGACATAGTCTCATCACATTCATGTCAGCTATTCCCAAAGTGGCTAAAAACTATGACACAGCATTTTCCAGTATTTGATGTTTCTGGTTCTAGAAGTATGGCTGTGGGTGGTTGTGCATGGCCGTACCTCCCGCACTAGGAACCCCTCCTGCATGTAGCGTGTATCTATGGTCTTGAGCAACTCCATGGTCTCATACTGGCCCTGACACGTCTTCAGCTTGTCCTGGGAGCCCAGCATGCACTTCAACAGCACCAGGCCCACCCGGAAGATAATCTTCACTCCTGGACGAACACACACCAGACGGACAGATTAAGTCACACAGAGTCCTGAGATAACACTCCTGGACGAACACACACCAGACGGAGATCCTGAGATAACACTCCTGGACGAACACACACCAGACGGAGATCCTGAGATAACACTCCTGGACGAACACACACCAGACGGAGATCCTGAGATAACACTCCTGGACGAACACACACCAGACGGAGATCCTGAGATAACACTCCTGGACGAACACACACCAGACGGAGATCCTGAGATAACACTCCTGGACGAACACACACCAGACGGAGATCCTGAGATAACACTCCTGGACGAACACACACCAGACGGAGATTCTGAGATAACACTCCTGGACGAACACACACCAGACGGAGATCCTGAGATAACACTCCTGGACGAACACACACCAGACGGAGATCCTGAGATAACACTCCTGAGATAAGTGTGTGTGTTCCTTTGTATGTTTGAATGTGTCTATGATGTATGTAATGATGAGTATGCTGGCATGTGTGCTTGTCTGTCTAAAGACCCTGCCTCTCTGAGAGTGCTCTCATGTGGCCATAATGTAATGTGCGTATGTTTACTCTGTATCTCACCCTCACAGAGGAACATGTCCCAGACGCGCAGCACGGAGGCCCAAGGCAGGGTTCTGGAGAAGGCACACATGAACCACTCTGTCATGTACAGGATAGGATCCATCTTGTGCTTCTTCAGGTGGCGGTGGGCCAGAGGAGACACCCGCTTCAGCAGAGCAGACAGGATCTCTCCATCCAGCTGGATCGCCTCCTACAGGAGCACACAGGAAGAACAGTCAGAAAGGAGAGTAGAGGGGGCGAGGGAGAGAGGCAGGGAGGGGCGAGAGGGAGAAAGAAAGTGTGAGAGAGAGTGTGAGAGGACACGAGAACAGACTCCTTCATTTGTTAAATCTAATAGTTTCATTATCTGGACCACATTGTCTGGTCACCCGTTCACTCAGGTCATTAGCTTGTCACGGTCACAGACAACAAGCTACAGGCATGCAATGACAGCAGCACATGCCAGCTAGAGAGCTGGTCCAATAATATGACCTGCCTGCCTGCATTCAACATGATTGTCACCTAAAATTGTACAGCTTTTCTTTTCCAAGACACGGGTGTTCCTGACAATGATAAACATGCTGAATGAATGTTTGACTTTATTTTAGTGACAGGTAAGCTCTTTGAGTTACTCTCTAGCTCTGCCCTTATCAAACTGTATCCTGTATGCCTGATCTTTAAACCCTAGTAAAAGACCTCACCCTGTCACAGCCAACAGTCAGCAAATTCTCTAAAGCACGTGATCTTGGTTCATTGTATTTTTGTGTCTATGTGTTCATTTTGAGTATAAGTGTGAGTGAAGGAGAGAGAATGTGTATGTAGTTTGAAGTAATGTGTCTTACCAGCCCTGCACTGTAGTATCCAGGAAGGTACTTCTCACAGATCTGGACCAAACCCCAGAATGCATCCTGTCAATAAAGCACAAACATAAATTAAACATGACGGTTGGCGTATGCATGCAACATTATCAGAAAACATTATTGGAGCGTGAGTAACAGTATATATGTGTGTGTGTGTGTGTGTGTGTGTGTGTGTGCAGGCTCACCTCAGCAGGCATGTGCATTAGCAGCACAGCAGCGATGGGAGCCTGGGCCTGGCAGTAACCCTCCTCTGGCCGGTGCAGAGTATAGGCCTTCAGGACACGGTACAGGTCCTGCTGCCTACATACACAGTAAGCACAATTCAGTTACTAAAAAACTAACAGAAAAATACTGAGACAAAGGCACAAGTAACATCAACAGAAACACAGTGACAGAAACACAATGCCCCATTCACATTTCTTACCCATGGCCTCCTCTTGCCATAAACATCTCATGGAAGGGGAACTGTCTGTGGAGGTCCCGCTCTATCACATCCACCCACTTAGGGTCTCCTGCCTGGCTGTCCAGCTCCTTAAAAAGAAACACACACACAGTTATTTACATGCTTACACTATGTGTAAAAGTATGAGTAAGTGTGTGTGTGTGTGTGTGTGTGAGATAGAGAGAGACAGGTATTAACAGTGAGGATAATGACTGACCTCGAACTTGCCCTTGTGCTGCTCCCTCTTCACCTTTCCTCCTGACAGGTAAAGCCACGCCCGGCCTCGCAGTGAGGGGGGGATGCCCTTCTGACAGCGCAGCTTCATCTGGGGATAGGAAGTTAGTGCTACGGTCACAGCCACTCATCATTATCATGCACGGTGAGAATAGTTTCAAAATCATGGGAATTCCATCAGCGTAATAGATTAGATATCAAGCAAGGGGGACAGGTTGTTCCAGTACAGTGGCTGGCGAAATTATTCACCCCCCTTGGCATTTTTCCTATTTTGTTGCCTTACAACCTGGAATTAAAATGGATTTTTGGGGGGTTTGTATCATTTGATTTACACAACATGCCTACCACTTTGAAGGGGGAAACAAACAACAAATAAGACAAAAAACTGAAAACTTGAGCGTGCATAACTATTCACCCCCCCAAAGTCAATACTTTGTAGAGCCACCTTTTGCAGTAATTACAGCTGCAAGTCTCTTGGGGTGTGTCTCTATAAGCTTGGCACATCTAGTAACTGGGATTTTTGCCCATTCTTCAAGGCAAAACTGCTGGATGGGTTCCGCTGGTGTATAGCAATCTTTAAGTCATCCCACAGATTCTCAATTGGATTGAGGTATGGGCTTTGACTAGGCCTTTCCAAGACATTTAAATGTTTCCCCTTAAACCACTTGAGTGTTGCTTTAGCAGTATGCTTAGGGTCATTGTCCTGCTGGAAGGTGAACCTCCGTCCCAGTCTTTGTTGCCTCTCTGATTAATGCCCTCCCTGCCTGGTCCATTAGCTTTTGTGGGCGGCCCTGTCTTGGCAGGTTTGTTGTGGTGCCATATTCTTTCCATTTTTTAATAATGGATTTAATGGTGCTCCATGGGATGTTCAAAGTTTCGGATATTTTTTTTGAACCCAACCCTGATCTGTACTTCTCCACAACTTTGTCCCTGACCTGTTTAGAGAGCTCCTTGGTCTTCATGGTGCCGCTTGCTTGGTGGTGCCCCTTGCTTAGTGGTGTTGCAGACTCTGGGGCCTTTCAGAACAGGTGTATATATACTATGATCATGTTACAGATCATGTGACACTTAGATTGCACACAGATGGACTTTATTTAACTAATTATGTGACTTCTGAAGGTAATTGGTTGCACCAGGTCTTATTTAGGGGCTTCATAGCAAAGGGGGTGAATACATATGCACGCACCACTTTTCTGTTATTTATTTATTGGAATTTTTTGAAACAAGTTATTTTTTTCATTTTTTGTGTATGTCCATTACATGAAATCCAAATAAAAATCAATTTAAATGACAGGTTGTAATGCAACAAAATAGGAAAAACACCAAGGGGGATGAATACTTTTGCAAGGCACTGTATGTGTTCAATTACTTTCCTTCCACAGTTCATGCCCTTAGGCCTTTTCTCCAGGGTGGTTTGTGTACACTAAGTGTGTAATAATAAATCAGCTCTGAGTTACACATTGCAAAACAGGTGGGGCTGTGGTGACTGTATTGTGACCTGACATACTGTAGCATCCAAAGCAGTCACTCAATAGGAGTAAAAGGGGTGGCACATAACAGCTTGCAAGGCTACCTTAACATGTTTCTAATAAAGACCAACACATGAATTTGCTGTTTTCGTCAGCAATGGGATTTCTGTAGATCAGCCAGCGTTTGACTGACTTACCTTCTTGTGTCTCTTTGCCATCCACTTGTCCCAGTTGTTGAGCATGTCCAGCCATTTGGCCTCCCTCTGTCTCAGCACCTCAGGAGGGATGTTTTCAGCTCTGTGGGAATCAGGGAGTGACAGACAGACCCAGGGTTATACTACAGCTACATACATCTGTCTCTCCAAACAAAAACTCTGATGTATTACTTGAGACATGAAAAGCAAAAAGGTAGTCAACACAGACAACAGTGAAACAAGAGCAGAGTGAGGGAGGGCGGGCCGAGGGCCAAACAGGAAGTGCCATCCCTCACACAGGAAGTTGTCTTGGAGAAAAACAAAAATACAAGCCGCTTCCTGTAGCTTCTGAAAATCATTCGCCAGAGGAGCCTACATTGTTTCTCTTTCAGAAACAATTATTTCGCTAGAAAACTTGAGCCATATGATCGTAGTGTCCATTGAAACGAGCGGAAATGGAAGAAAATATAAAAAAGACAAGGACAATGGCTGCTATTGTAGCGCCTCTCCAGATGAAAACAAGAGACATAGGAGGAGAGTTGGGCTTGTGCTCCTTCCCTTGAAAGAGAGAAGGCAGTGGATGGAGGCGAGGACAGTAGAGTCGAGGGCAGTTCAGAAGGGACCCTCAAGAGGCCTCTCTGAGAAAGAGCATCTTTATTGCATCCATCTGACAGACACACCAGGTACACTGGAACGACTGTGGTCAAATTAGCCAAGGGGGATGGAGGAAGGAGGGGTGAACTGTGTCGATGGCGCTGCAGTGGCAGTCTTACGGGCTCCTGACCAATTCTGCTATTTTGTGTTTTTTTACGCTGGTCGTAACTTTTTTTGTAGGTAATGTCTCCACCATCATTTCCTATGACCGAAAACAGCTTCTGGACATTAGAACAGCGATCACCAACCTCGATTTGGATGAAAATGTCTACTTCAACGAGTCGGCAGCTCTGGAAGTTCTGCTTCCTCCAAACCAGGCCCTAATCCCTGGGACTCGAAAGAGGAAGCGGCGACGAAAGAGAGGCAGGCGAGGCGGCATCCTGATGAAACTATGTTGGCAAGCAAATAGTCCGCCATTGTCCTCTGTTCTATTGGCGAACGTGCAGTCAATGGAGAGCAAACAGGACCTTTAAAACGGTCATATTCTATGTTTCTCAGGGCGGACACGGATAATATACAATGAGGACATAATGTACATCTTACTGGTTTTTCTATGCATCGTCAAGACCGGACGGCAGACTCGGGTAAGACGAAGGGAGGAGGGGTGTGGCTCTTTGCTAACAACAGCTGGTGCGCAATCTCTAATATTAAGGAAGTCTCAGGTTTTTGCTCGCCCGAGTTAGAATACCTCATGATAAGCTGCAGACCATACTATTTATTTTTCGTAGCTGTCCATTTACCACCATAAACTGATGCTTGCACTAAGACCGCACTCAACGAACTGTATATGGCCATAAGCAAACAAGAAAATGCACATCAAGAGGGGGCGTTTCTCGTGGCCAGTTATTTGAATGCAGAAAAACTAAATCCTTTTAACAAATGTTTTACAGCATGTCACCTGTGCAACTAGAGGCGACAAAACTCTAGATCACTTTTACTCCATACACAAACTCATATAAGGCCCTTCCTCACCCTCTCTTTGGTAAATCAGACCATAACTTTATCCTCCTGCTTACAAGCAAAAACTCTAAACAGGAAGTACCAGTGACACACAATACGGAAGTGGTCCGATGAAGCGGATGCTAAGCTACAGGACTGTTTCACTAGCACAAACTAGAATATGTTCCGGGATTCATCCGATAACATTGAGGAGTTTACCACATCAGTCACCAGCTTCATTAATAAGTGCATAGACGAAGTCATCCCCATTGTGACCGTACGTACATACCCCAACCAGAAGTCTTGGATTAAAGGCAACAGCCGCACTGAGCTAAAAGGCTAGAACTGCCGCTTTCAAGGAGCGGGACACTAATCCGGACACTTATAAGAAATCCCGCTAAGACCGCCGACAAACCATAAAACAGGCAAAGCGTCAATACAGGACTAAGATCGATTCCTACTACGCTGGCTCTGACGCTCGACGGATGTGGCAGGGCTTGCAAACTATCAAGGATTACAAAGGGAAACCCAGCCACGAGCTGCCCAGCGACACAAGCCTACCAGACGAGCTAAGTGCCTTCTATGCTCGCTTCGAGGCAAGCAACACAACCATGAATGAGAGCACCAGCTGTTCCGGACAACTGTGTGATCTCGCCCTCCGTAGCCGATGTATGACCTTTAAACAGGTTAACATTCGCAAAGGCCGCGGGGCCAGACGGAATACCAGGACACGTACTCAGAGCATGTGCTGACCAGCTGGCAAGGGTCTTCCCTGACATTTTCAACCTATCCCTAACCCGGTCTGTCTGTAATACCAACTTGTTTCAAGTAGACCACCATAGTTCCCGTACCCAAGAACGCCAAGGTAAACTGCCTAAATGACTATCACCCCATAGCACTCACATCTATAGCCATGAAATGCTTTGAAAGGCTGGTCATGGCTCACATTAACACCATCATCCCAGACACCCTGGACCCACTCCAATTCGCATACCGCCCCAACAGATCCACAGATGACGCAATCTCTACTGCATTAGACACTACCCTCACCCACCTGGAAAAAAGGAATACCTATGTTAGAATGCTGTTCATTAACTACAGCTCAGTATTCAACATCATAATACCCTCCAAGCTCAGGACCCTGGGACTGAACACATCCCCTGCAACTGGATCCTAGACTTCCTGATGGGCCGCCCCCAGGTGGTGAGGGTAGGCAACAACACATCTGCCATGCTGACCAACATGGATGGCCCTCAGGGGTGTGTGCCTAGTCCCCTCCCGTACTCCCTGTTCACCCACGACTGCGTGGCTGCGCACGATCATCAAGTTTGCTGACGACACGACGGTGGTAGGACTGATCACCGACGATGAGGCAGCGTATAGGGATGAGGTCGGAGACCTGGCAGTGTGGTGCTAGAACAACAACTTCTCAACGTCAGCAAGACAAAGGAGCTGATCGTGGACTACAGGAAATGGAGGGGCGAGCATGCCCCAATCCACATCGATGGGGCTGTAGTGGAGCTTTAAACAATGTACATTTGTTGATTGCTAGGCATACAAATACGATTATTTGATACATTTGAAACGAGGTCTAGTTGTGGCCGCAACCGGACTAGCAGGTTAAACTAATGACTAAAATGAATGAGTCACTCGGAAAAAAACGAATCATGACTCTCGAGTCAGTAAAGAGTCATTCAAAAAGAACAAATCGTTTGTGAACTGCACATCACTACCCCCAAGCCATAAGACTTCTAAACAAGACTGCTAAATAGCTACCTCCATTTACCCTTCGATGACTATGCACACACACTGGACTCTACCCACACATATACTGTACTTACACTGACACCAACACACACAGAGCAGAGACTATAAACTGACAATGATCGACCTGTATATAGCCATGTTATTTTGATTGTTATTCACTGTGTATTTATTTAAAAAAATATATATATATATTTAACTCTGCATTTGATTTTGAATTATACTGTGTCATGGTCCTCATTATAAATAGCCTCTCCTTTTTCTCAGCGATGAATGAAACGAGGTCGTATGTTGTAGGTTACATAAATAAATAAAAACCTAAGGAGAGGCACAGACCTCAGAAATATCAAGCATACAAGGCAATAGAACATACACACACACAGATCCATGAACACACAGATACCACTGTTCTGTCACAGTGGCAGCAACTGTGGTAGCCGTAGTAGCATCATTAGTCAAAGGACAACATGACCTTTCCCTTCCAACGGAGCACACCAAACAGCCAGATAATCATTCTGCAGAACCCATCACAAAAAGGCTTCATAATAAAAAAAAATACAGTTTGGACAGGCTAAAACTAACAAGCTCTTCGCCTAAGAGGCTTTGACAAGTCCCCTTTATGTTGTGATTTTTTACATTTTTTCTAGGGACTGCCTTGCAGTCATTAGTCTACATCCAACAAAATGGGCTGAACATTTAGGCCTGCATTCTCTTTCAAACTCCAGCAGATCATATGACATGACAGATACTAGGACCTAAAAAGCCAGAATGAAAGACAAGGGGTCACTCATGCCGTGCAAACAGCAGTGCCTCACACAAGCACCTGCTTTACAAGGTAGACAAATACCAGGTAGTACAAAGGGCTGAGCGCAGCACAGACAGACAGGGATTGGCATTAGCCTGGCTGAATTAGTGCAGACTATCAGATTACAGTTATCCCGGGTCGAGGGTGATCTCAGGAAGCTCTAAGCAAACAGGGACAGGTGTAGTCCAAATACTATCATTTTGAGCACTCACTCTCAAATACAAAACACCATACAAACAGTTCAGAGTGCTAGGATGTGGCATGCTTTTTATCACATCTTAGCACTCTAGGAGGAAGGGCCTGTCATTGGTGGGGGAGGAGCAGCGTCTGAGCTCTTCCTACTCCTCAAAGGAAATTAATCCTCAGACAAAACAGTGGAACACTTGCCACAGCCTGTGAAGCACACAGAAAACAGGAAGCTCTGAGAGAACATTCCCTTAGTTCTGTTCCCTCCCCACTCCTTCTCCTGGTGCTCATCAACCACTCACAGGGGGCCTAAACACGAGAGAAATGCAGATCACAATAGGTTGTATGTAGAGTCAGAAGGCGTTTGTTTGGACCAAGTGGTGACAGATCAGGCAGGTATTCTGTTTTGCAGGGAACCAGCGGCTCATGTTGCACTCAGTGGCTAAAATCCACATTAGTGTAGAAAAGACAATGGCCGTGTCCGAATACCCATACTTGTGTTCTAAATAGTAGGCTTTTTGGGCAAGCAAATTTTTTTTATCTGATCCTACAGCCTTCTTAGACTCAACAACCCTGAATCAATTATCAGCAGACAAAAAATAATCAATAAAACAGAGACATTGTTAAAAGATTGGCGCAGATGAAAAACACCAGGAAAGGACAGCTTTCCCATAGAATTCCATTTAACATTTTGGGACAAAGTAGCACCCCTATTTACACAAATGACAACATGTCACTCAATTCAGTGCTTCCTAGTTCCATGTATCAAACAGTTATTTCAGTTATATTAAAACCAGGAAAATCTGGAGAGTCCACTGCTGATTACAGAACCATAAGTTTAATAAAATTGTGACAAAATAATAACAAAGCTTATTAGCAATAGAATGGCAACCATCTTACCAGACTTGACACATATCAAACAGGGTTTATTAAAAATAGACAAACAAATACAATAACATGTTTCAGTTTAATACAATACACCAAAAAACAAGTTATAGATTTATCAATGGCTGTTGATGCCGAAAAGGGTTTTGACCATCTTGAATGGCCTTTTCTATTCGAAAATAGAACATTTTATAATATGTGACATTTCAAAAATGTAGTATGCTTTAAAGGGTAACTCTCAACCCCAATTTCAGCCTTTACCCAACCCCTTCAAAAAAAAAAAAAAAAAAATCTATTCAGTTGAGAAGTTGTGGGTGGGGGGGAATTGATCATAAATATTAATTTTGGGGGTGGGTAAACATAGTTGTACCTGATCCCAACACTTTCTCACTAAAACATACCTGAAGTCCACTGGCACGCTCTGATAATCAAATTAAGTGCATCGTGAGCAAATACAGCTTTGGACAGTTACCTCACAGTGGTAAGAGTGAGTTTTTGACATCGATTGCCACTTGCGGTGTAAGTTCAAATCCTCCATGGGGCGCTATAAAAAAATAATTGAAATGTGGACTCACATGTATTGCGGTATTGTGTTGGGAAGAAAGTGCAATCATCACCTTGAAAATGAAGATTAGGGCCTCAATTCAATCCAACCCGCATTGCAGTATTTACACAGTAGCTATTTTTCCAATTGTCAAATTAACTCACAGATTGGTCTTGGGTACTGTATAAAAACCTACAACTACTACCAGAGCGACACCTCTTGCGGGTATACTTTCACTTTTCAGAATTAAAAGTGTGTGAGCACGGGATGCATATTGTAAATAATGTGGGATTAGAACTCACAACCATTGAACTAGCGGACTGCGCCACCTGTCACAGCAGTTGGGAAAAACATACTAAGAGTTGACATGACCACCACGGTCATCTATTTCTTGTTACGATGGACGTAGTTACCACAGGAGGTTGGTGGCACCTTAATTGGGGAGAACGGGCTCGTGGTAATGACTGGAGCGGAATCAGTGGAACGGTATCAAATACATCAAACACATGGTTTCCAGGTGTTTGATGCCATTCCATTTGCTCCATTCCGGCCAGTATTATGAGCCGTTCTCCCCTCAGCAGCCTCCCACTGGTAGCTAAGAATATAAAGGTATAATCCTCAACGCCTACATGTTTTTAAAATCACCGGCCACCAGTAGCGCCACCTATGGATGAGCATTTTCTTGTTTGCTTATGGCCCGATACAGCTCGTTGAGTGTGGTCTTAGTGCCAGCATCGGTTTGTGGTGGTAAATAGACAGTTACGAAAAATACAGATGAAAACTCTCTTGGTAAATAGTATGGTCTACAGTTTATAATGAGGTATTCTAGACTTGGGACTTCCTTAATGTTAGAGATCGCACCCCAGTTGTTGTTGACAAAGACACAAATAACTCCCCCCCCCCCCCCCCCCCGATCTTACCGGACTCTGCCGTTCTGTCCTGCCAATGCATAGAAAAACCAGCTAGATGTAAATGATCCATGTCCTTGTTCAGCCATGACTCCGAGAAGCATAGTTTATTACAGTTCTTAATGTCCCGTTGATGGGATAGTCTCGAATGGAACTCATCCAGTTTATTCTCCAGAAATTGCACATTCGCCAATACAGTGGGTAGAGGCGATTTATTTACTTGCCGCCATAGTTTCATCAGTGTGCCCGCGCGCCGGCCTCTATAGCGCCATCTCCTCCTTCTTCGAGAGTCGGGGATTTGGGCCTGGTCTGGAAAAATCTATATGTCCTTCGCCTTTGACTCATTGAAGTAGAAGTCCTCGTCCAAATCTAGGTTAGTGATAGCTGTTTTGATGTCCAGAAGCTCTTTTCGGTCATAGGAAACGATGGCGGAAACATATGTACAAAACAAAAGTTACGTTCCAAACCTCTCTGCCAACAACCGCTAGTTTTCAGTTTTCCCCTCCCCACTCCTAGACAGTCCTAGCAAATTCTTGCTTGAGAAATTGCTCTTTGTTAAGAAGCTATTTTTGTTTATTTTTCAACAAAAATATGCCTTTCAGCCACCAGTAAATATACTAAATCATTAAGAAGTTTCAAAATACTTTTCCTTCACTCAATCTTAAAAGAAAAGGAGAAAAAAATGGAATGGAATGGACTCTACCTACATGTGTATTTATCCTACTGTTTTTACCAAAACCGTCCCGAGCACACCTGGTCGTGCTGCTCATCCAGTTTCTGCCGCTCTGCCTGCGGCTATGGAACCCTGACCTGTTCACCGGTCGTACTACCTTGTTCCGGACCTGCTGTTTCGACCCTCTCTCTCCCCCACTATGAAAAGCCAACTGACATGTACTCCTGAGTTGCTGACCTGTTGCACCCTCTATAACCACTGTGATTATTATTTGACCCTGCTGGTCATCTATGAACATCTTGAAGAACGATCTGACCTTAATGGCCATGTACTCTTATAATCTCCACCCCTCAGAGCCTGGTTCCTCTGTAGGTTTCTTCCTAGTTTCCTGCCTTTCTAGAGAGTTTTTCCTAGCCACCGTGCTTCTACATCTGCATTGCTTGCTATTTGGGTCTAGGTTTCTGTATAAGCACTGACAATTGCGGATGTAAAAACGACTTTATAGATATATTTGATATCAAATTTGATTGATTTTAATAGAAAAAAATTACACTAAGGTACTTCATTGTTACCCAGAAATGATTTGATAATGAGATGAAAACATCTGCATTGGGTCTTTAAATGCCAGGATGTTATACTCATTTTGGCTTTTCATAAAGTAGAAATCGCTGCACGCTATTGAGGAAGAGAATCATCTTTTCACACACGGGTTTGACAACAGTTGATAATCAGATGAACAAATGGTGGGGAACAAGTTTGATTGCGCATTAGATGACGCCTTCTCAGTGTGGATGAGCATTTTGTTCATATTTGTTGCTTACTACATAGGCTACGTTTTTACTAAACAGTACGTTCTAGATAGTATGTAGTATATTAGCACACAGTAGGCTATGTCGTTTTAGTAAGTAGTAGGCAAGACAGATTTCAGCCACGGCCACTTACAACTGTAAAGTCAAAAGCACTTTACAAGGCAGCAGTACCCGGCCTAACATAACACACATTGGTAAACAAAATGAGAAAGGGAAAAACAATGCCATACAACACAAAGGCTGTCAAGTCTCCTTGGAAGCATAATATGTACAATATGTTACGAATTCCAATTTGTTGTGGCTAACGCTAACCTTAGCTAGCTCTAGGAGTTAGGGGTTAAGTGTTAAGATTAGGAGTTAGGTTAAAGGGTTAAGGTTAGGGAAATGGTTAGCTAAAAGGGTTAAGGTTAGGGGAAGGGGTCGCTAACATGCTAAGTAGTTGCAAAGTTTATAAAATGTAGTAAGTTGTTGTTAATGAGCTAAAATGCTAAAGTTGTCCGTGATGAGATTCGAACGCGCAGCCTTTGGGTTACTAGACATTCGCATTATAGGCCTTAAGTATCCTTCTATCTTATGCAACCATACCAAACGTAACATATCATACTAATTTGAGTGTTCCGGATTTACTTTTATTATGTTACGTCTAGTCTATGAGACCAGTCTGGAGTGTAACACTGAGCAAGAGGAATAACTGTTTCTGTTGGCCTCCAGGGGTAACAAATAACAGGCTACTGATAAAAATATGGATTGCATATTAGAAAATGACAAACAGATGACAAGGGGTCAATCAGATGACTAATCTGTAATGAAGGAAGACGCACTTCTTATGAAAACGTTTTGACAATTTAGAACAGTCATGTCTGTCAACCACAGACAGAACGAGCTAGCTACGTCATTTCTGATGGACAATTCTAAACAGATGGGTCATACTTACGATTGTTCTGAATATTGTTGTGCACCCCCAATAAATCCATATTTATCCGTCTGTCTCTCACTGGTATAGCCATTTAGTTCAGAGTCCGAGCTGAAAGAGTTGCCTTCTCCATCTGTCAGTGCCAGACTTTCTCTTGTGCTCCGCAAACTTTTGTGGGACTCTGCTGACTTAAGTCCATTACCTGGTTCTATTCTTGCCATTTAAACCACTAGCTCTCTCTAGCTTACTTCTTAAAATATAATTAGTCAAGTAAACCTTCCATTATTGAATTCTAACTCAAACATTTCAGTGAAAACTTTAGCTAGGTAGCTAGTTTTTGGTCGTCCAACATCATGTCATAAGCTGACCATTGCATCGTCGCAGTTAAATCAGTGACCTAGTTAGCTAGCCTTAATCAAAGCAACTAGCTAGCTCGACTAACTAATATGTTAATAAACGTTAACTCACCAACCAACTAACGTTAGCGAAATTAAAAACAGAAAGTCAGAATCAATGAATGGCAACTAGATAGCTAACTGGCTATATTAGCTAACCGCTAGCACTGCCAGTGAGAAGCATGCCACTAGCTGTCGAACAACAACAACACCACAAGTCAGAACACAAAAATCGGTCTACTTCTAACGACTGTTCAGCCCAATAAAACAATTTAAATCAAATGACAATCAACCTCTCACAGGCCTGGCAAGTCTGAAGAGTTGATGCACAGACAGAAGGGGTAACCCAGGCATGTCACAGGGCTATAAAGCGGAAGCATCCGTTTAGAACGTTTTCTCACCACCAAATATGGTAGTCAGAAGAAGTCCAGGCGCAGGTAGTGGGAGAGGATGGAACTAGGTGAAACTAGGCCGACATTCTGCTAATTTTCTCATCGATGAAACATCTGATTTCAATACCTTTTTCTGTTCCCAAAACTAAAATGTGTTACGAACACAGTGTACTAATTTTTATAGACTTGACGCTTTGCAAACGTTTTTTAAAAAGTGCTTTGTTTAGAAGGATCTCACTGGTCATCCCCAAAGCCAACACCTCCTTTGGCCGCCATTCCTTCCAGTTCTCTGCTGCCAATGACCGGAACGAACTGCAAAAATCTTATGTCCCTCACTAACTTTAAGCGTCAGTTGTCAGAGCAGTTTACCGATCACTGCACCTGTACACAGCCATTCTGAAATTAGCCCACCCAACTACCTCATCCCCATATTGTTATTTATTTTGCTAATTTGCACCCCAGTATCTATATTTGCACATCATCTTTTGCACATCTATCATTCCAGTGTTAATACGAAATTGTAACTATTTTGCACTATGGCCTATTTATTGCCTTACCTCCATAACTTACTACATTCGCACACACTGTATATATATTTTCTGTTTGTATTTTTGACTTTATATTTTGTTTACCCCATATGTAACTCTGTGTTGTTGTTTTTATCGCACTGCTTTGCTTTATCTTGGCCAGGTCGCAGTTGTAAATGAGAACTTGTTCCCAACTGGCTTACCTGGTTAAATAAAGGTGAAATAAAAAAAGGAGTGCAAGGTCGAATTGACTTTGTGCACACGCGCGCTACACAGAGGGGGCGTTCCCAAACGGAAATATGCAAATACATGCTACAACGCGCCAATATGATCTCGCTAGCTTGTGCTTGGCTTAGCCACCTCCTTGCTTGTTCTGCCCACTATGCTTCATTAGCTACCATTGTAAACGACACAGATGAACTATTTTGGGTTAGTTATAAATATCTTCGGTTGATGTTTCGGAACTGCTAGCGTCAGCTGACTGTCATGGAGGCAAAGACCACGTTCCAGGTCGTTTCTTATTTAGTAAAATATGAAAAAGATTGGATACCTTTAGTTCTCGGAAACCACATCAATATGGTAAAGAATGATTCTGCATGTGATGTGTGCATATCATATGGATGTGGTTCCAGACAAGCTAAACACTTGTCCTGAGGTTGGGCGATCTTCTGCGCAGAGCGACTACAACAAAGATCAGCCGAAACGTGCCCATAAATCTCTGCTGCTGCATCAGCTGTTTTGTTCTTTGACTACCACTCTCTTAACTTATAGTTGTCGCCACCTTTCGATGCATTTAGCTAGCTACATGTCCCAAAGTAATGCTCCAAGAGATGGGCTAAAAATACATGTCAATTTTGCAGTGGCTATACTTAATTGTGAGTGCACTGGGGTAAATGATTCCACAGAAATTAAATGGTAAACTCATTCGATGATTCTCAAAATGTTTGTCTGGCTTCAATCCTTCCAAAATGACTGGTGCAGGTAGTAGGGGATACTGTTAGTCCCAAGGTTCGCCAAAGTATATGTTGTCTCCCTTAAGAAAACATATTGCAGTCAGAATGCAGTATAACTGAAGTACACTGTAGTATGAAAAATGTATGCACTCGCTACTGTAAGACGCTCTGGATAAGATTGTCTGCTAAATTACTAAAATGTAAATGTAAAAATGTATGCTGCAAATACTGCAGTAATTTTGCAGTGTAACTGCAGTAACAGTGCAGTATAACTGCAGTTCAATTGCAGTACAGAGCCAATGTGAGATGTGTGCAGTGGCGGCTCCTGAAAAAATTCTCAGGGGGGGCAATTTTTCTGATGATTTAGGTGACCTACACACATTTTTAAAAAGATATGTCCAGCAACAACATGAAGACAGGGGCAGCATATAAGTCAATACCAGAAGCATTTATTGACTGATCTCAAAAGTGTTGGCTTACAAAATCAAAATAAGTTATCACAGTAAAAATAATCAAGGGTGTTCTTTCACATTCCTCAACACTGCATAAACAATATGCATTTCCATAAACAAATGAAATATCAGCTGAAAATACAGCATCTTGGTATTTGTTCAGATTGCAGGATCAACAAGAGCTTTTACCACATTTTTTGCCTCATGGTTGAATTGGAAATATGTGCACCTGAGCATAATTCACAACAAGCAAGCAGGAGCTTTTGATAGAGGCTACTGAAAACATTGATGCAAGTTATTGGTAATAAGACATTTTTATAGACTTCCATATTCTGCCCTCTTGTATAGATTTGTGAAAATGAACAGTGATAGACATTTTGCCTGAAAACAGAATTTGAAAGTAATTTCTAGAAAAGGTAAACACAGCTATCTGTATGGCTTTGTAAAAATGAACAACCATATTCTGGCCAATTGTATAGATTTGTAAATATGAACAACCATATTCTGGCCAATTGTATAGATTTGTAAAAATGAACATTGAGAAAGATCGAATGATATTGTTTAATCTTACCTTATGGCCTGCACACTGCTTGTGAAGCTGTCGAGGGCACGTTTGATAAAGACAGCATCGATGTCCTTCTTCTGTAGCTTCTGGTACAGAATGTCGACGTGGGGCATGATTTTGTGAAAAAGCCGCAGGAAAAAAATAAAATCTTCATCATGTAACGTTAGCCAGATGCCTCTCTCACGGTGGGCTGGTCAAATGAACCCAATGAACCCGTCCGAATGGCTTCAAAACATTCTATGAGGTCGTCTCGATTCTCGTAGACAGTTTTCACGACTCTGCTTAGTAGAAACCTGTTGAATTATTAAATTTGGTCTGGGAGGTCCTAATTGTTTCGTTGCCAATTTATCTTGATTTGTTCGCCGACAAAAAGGAACTTCTTTCAAAGAGACAATCGAGTTGCACTGAAGGCTAACCATTTTGACAGTAATAGTGAATTGATTGATGAGGCTACCCGCTCTTTTCTTAGTTACGTTCATGGTTATGTTACGTATGACGAAAGCGCGTAAGTGCAAGCCCTCAGAAACCCATAGAGATTGTATTGAAAGCTCTGATATTTGAAAAAAAATTGATTTTACATTAGAGGCTATGAGAGATTTCTGGGCGATTTTCAACCTGACTGAAATCGCCCCAAAACGGGCGGGGACATTTGAAGCACGACTTTAGCCTGATTGGACATTTAGTGGCAGATCAGACGTCTAGATTAGAACACTGATAACTACTGTTGCCGTGATATAATTGATTATAAAAAAAATCCCTTCCTTTTCCCGTTTGGCAGTGCGTCGCCCATATCGCCCTAATGAACACACCGCCCCTGGATGTGTGTAATCTGAGCTGGGACATTGTCCAGGATGATTAGTGATGTTCCAGCCAGACAGCCCTGAGCACTATGAGTGATTTATTATTAGCTAATATTATTATTTATCTATTTATTATTAGCTTTATTTACTAATAAAATGCATTTTCATTATATTATTTTATTTCATCAGGCATTATCAAAGACAATTTTGCAATAATTAACCTTGAAGGTGTATCCCATATTTGCTCAGAGGTGCTTTAGTTGATATCAGGTCAGCTATTTGCACTCTTAAGAGTTGGAAGTGTCTGTCCTATATCTAGGAGATATAAGAAAGCTTAGGAAATATTTTCTGGGACATATTTAACCCTTTATTTTTGTTGGCACAAACCTACCTCCATATTTCCATTAATTTGTATGGGTTACCTTCAGACAAGTCCCGTGAAACTCCCCTTTCTGACTATGCATAAATAATAAACAGAGTAGCAGCAGCGTAAAAGAGGGGGTTGGGGTGGGGGGGCAATGAATAGTCTGGGTAGCCATGATTAGCTGTTCAGGAGTCTTTTGGCTTGGGGGTAGAAGCTGTTAAGAAGCCTTTTGGACCTAGACTTGGCGTTCCGGTACTGCTTGCCATGCGGTAGCAGAGAGAACAGGCTATGACTAGGGTGGCTGGAGTCTTTGATAATTTTTAGGGGACACCGCCTGGTATAGAGGTCCTGGATGGCAGGAAGCTTGGCCCCAGTGATGTACTGGGCTGTAAGCACTACCCTCTGTAGTGCCTTGCGGTCGGAGGCCGAGCAGTTGCCATACCAGGCGGTGATGCAACCAGTCAGGATGCTCTTGATGGTGCAGCTGTGTAACTTTTTGAGGATCTGAGGACCCATGCCAAATCTTTTCAGTCTCCTGAGGGGGAATAGGCTTTGTCGTGCCCTCTTCACGACTGTCTTGGTGTGTTTGGACCATGATAGTTTGTTGGTGATGTGGACACCAAGGAACTTGAAGCTCTCAACCTGTTCCACTACAGCCCCGTCGATGAGAATGGGGGCGTGCTCAGTCCTCTTTTTTCCCCACTTTAGTAGTGTGAGTGGGGTTGTGTGTGCATGAGAGAAAACCCATGAGTTGACCACAGTTGCCTACCAGTCTGTGGCACCCTGGCACTGGCACAAATACTATAGGTCGGCTAGCACGTGTCCGTCTCGTGGTTGAAGGGCACTCCTTTCATGCTCTGCCTCCACTGGACTGTGAAGAGCTCAGATCACAACACATCACATGCAGCATTGTTCATCATGTGGGTGGATATGGAAATAGGTTTGGCATCTGTATTCAATACATAGCCTGCAGATATGGGCCTGTTTTGGTGGTGACACACAGTGGCACATTACAGTGTTCAAGGTCACACAGGCTCATATGCCATGTCTGACACGTGTGGAAAAAGAGAGCGAGAGAGTGAGTGAAAAAGAGAGGAAGATAGAGATGAACTGAGAAAGAGAATGACATGGTGGAAATAGGATTACAAAAAAGGGATGTGCATGACAATGACAGAGAGAGGGATAGTTGGTTGGTCACATAATTGCAAGAAATACACAAACAAGAAACAAAAATAAAATGGTGACTAATCTGGACTAGTGGCTTTGGGCTTTGGTAGGCCGTCTTCCACGTAAAGGAAGATCATCACACAGTTGAGGGTCAGGTTAGCTCTTACATTATGCCAAAGTCCTTTGATGAATGCTTGGGAGGTATTCAAGGATATTGCAGGGGGTTGACAGCACGCGATCCCTGAAGGGTTGAAAAGGAGACCAGCATTTGACCATGACAGTAAGGCAAACTCATTAAGCCCTTACTTATCAAGACAGGCCTAAAATAGCCCATCTTCATAGAGCTGACCTCACCAGTGGAGGTTAATCTGCAGGCTGGGCAATGTTTCACACTGCTAGTGAAATTTGTCACAGGCAATGCCATCACATGGAATGCTGCAATCAACAGAAGTGCATAATCTCATGACAGTCTCATACTGTTTTGGGGTTTTGTGGGAAACCGGTTTTAGCCTCTACTCATAACGCATAGTCACAAAAAGTCAGAGGCATGAATTTTAGTACAAATACTATATTCTTTATTTGAATATTTTACAACTTTGAAAACATATTTGCAGAATCTAGTTCTGCATTATTACACTTTACACACACATAGCTTTCATACTCAAACATTGCTTGCTTAGAGAACAAAAAATCCTTGTCTTGACTGCAGAAGCACCATCGAAAAACGAATGAGAGCGTGGACAGAAAGAGAGGAGGGGGACATAATTGATATTGAACACTGAGCAACATACAAGTCCAAACGAGACAGGCTTGCATTGCCAGACAAGGCCTCTTGATAGGATGGTACAGATCTATTTGTTAAGGCGGAATCGGTCCTCACCATTATCAATAAACAGCACTACAACCTGCCCCGCCCTTCCTGGTTCAGCACATGTAACAGATAAGTGTCCTTAAACCATAGAGGATGACTTCTCGTCTCAAAATCAGATCAGGTATTAGGGGGCACATTTGCAGGTAAGAAAATTCCAGTAGTACAAATAGCTTGTCATGCAAAGATAGAATGCATAGGACAGATGATATTCATGAAATTAAGTCTCAAAGGCTACAGAAAACGTACTTAAACCAAATTGAAATAGTATTTACTCCACAAACGTAAATGTAACCATTGACGTTCTTTTCAATTATTTGTATACTAAAGTAAGCTAGATGATCAATACAGTGACAACATTGGTCTCCATTACACTGTTAGCCTGACTGCAGGGTTTAGATTAGAAGCTGTACCCTGGTCATGCTTGTGAAGCTATGGCTTTCCTTATTTGGTTTCTTTAAGGATTCAAAAACCTGCATTGTTGTTTGTTTCTCACATACTACCTGTCACATGTAACTAGAGCCACACATACGTTCAAACCCGTTCTGGTCACATTGTATTCTAGGCACAACTAAAAAGACACCTTAGTGGTCTTTGACTGTTTTTGCACCGTAAATACGACTGGGCATCATTCCCCACAAGCAGAATGACGGTTTACCTGTCAAACTGATTGACAGATATGCTCTCAATTTTCAAATACAAAATACATTTTATGTTACAGTATTGGTGCAGATTAGTCTCCAAACCCAAATGAACACAAGAGGGAAAAGATAGCAAGTACTCCTCTTTGGTGCGCCGGCTTCATAACAGAGCAAACATTGGCTAACAATGAAGACGGGTGTGTATTCTGCTATTATGCAGAAGAATCAACAGCATGCCAAGACCAGAATAGGATGATCAACTTCAAGCTTTCATGAAATAATGAAATTGTGCACACACAGACACACATAAATGTACAGTCTTAAACACATTTAATTGACAAAATAAAAGCAGCAGGTAATTATTATTGGGAGACAGAACAAATCTAGAACAAAACTACAATTTTGAGATGACACCCACCAAACAAAGACTGATTCTTGCTTAATAGTAAGATGGCATGATTCTTATTTGCCATCCATTAAGCAAAATATAGCTTCACAAAATAATCAAACGGTGAATCCATATGTTGGATAACATTTCAACTGTCACATCATGGCTCTCAAACTAATAACATTAAGTTATAAAAATAAAACTTTGTTTAATAATTCATACCTGACCTATTGTTTCGGTTGAAAGCATTCCCAGATGCTACCATTCGCTTTGCAAGTTAACACATATCAACAACATTCAAACAAGAACCTACACCCACATATACATATATATATACATATATATACATATATATATACATATATATATATATATATATATATATACACATATACATATATACATATACATACATACATACATACATACACAAAAACACGTTGACAAAGACATGCTAATGTCATTGCCCTGACACACTACTACCGAGTCGAACATGGTATGGACATCTCAATGTCGTGGTTCTTTTGGCCCATGGAAGGGAGGGATTGAGAATATTTACTTAAGGTTCAACCCTTTATAGATTGTGAATGCTTGTGTACACATCTGGCACAATAGCTAAATAATCATCCTTTGCATCCTTATCAGTGACAAAGTGAAGACACTCTCTGCCTTGTGAGGGAAAAAAGTATTTGATCCCCTGCTGATTTTGTACGTTTGCCCACTGACAAAGAAATGATCAGTCTATAATTTTAATGGTAGGTTTATTTGAACAGTGAGAGACAGAATAAAATAGAAATAATCCAGAAAAACACATGTCAAAAATGTTATAAATTGATTTGCATTTTAATGAGGGAAATAAGTATTTGACCCCCTCTCAATCAGAAAGATTTCTGGCTCCCAGGTGTCTTTTATACAGGTAACCAGCTGAGATTAGGAGCACACTCTTAAAGGGAGTGCTCCTAATCTCAGTTTGTTACCTGTATAAAAGACAGCTGTCCACAGACGCAATCAATCAGATTCCAAACTCTCCACCATGGCCAAGACCTAAGAGCTCTCCAAGGATGTCAGGGACAAGATTGTAGACCTACACAAGGCTGGAATGGGCTACAAGACCATCGCCAAGCAGCTTGGTGAGTAGGTGACAACAGTTGGTGCGATTATTCGCAAATGGAAGAAACACAAAAGAACTGTCAATCTCCCTCGGCCTGGGGCTCCATGCAAGATCTCATGTCGTGGAGTTGCAATGATCATGAGAATGGTGAGGAATCAGCCCAGAACTACACGGGAGGATCTTGTCAATGATCTCAAGGCAGCTGGGACCATAGTCACCAAGAAAACAATTGGTAACACACTACGCCGTGAAGGACTGAAATCCTGCAGCGCCCGCAAGGTCCCCCTGCTCAAGAAAGCACATATACGTGCCCGTCTGAAGTTTGCCAATGAACATCTGAATGATTCAGAGGAGAACTGGGTGAAAGTGTTGTGGTCAGATGAGACCAAAATGGAGCTCTTTGGCATCAACTCAACTCGCCGTGTTTGGAGGAGGAGGAATGCTGCCTATGACCCCAAGAACACATGGAGGTGGAAACATTATGCTTTGGGGGTGTTTTTCTGCTAAGGGACAGGACAACTTCACCACATCAAAAGGGACGATGGACGGGGCCATGTACCGTCAAATCTTGCCTCAGCCAGGGCATTGAAAATGGGTCGTGGATGGGTATTCCAGCATGACAATGACCCAAAACACACGGCCAAGGCAACAAAGGAGTGGCTCAAGAAGAAGCACATTAAGGTCCTGGAGTGGCCTAGCCAGTCTCCAGACCTTAATCCCATAGAAAATCTGTGGAGGGAGCTGAAGGTTCGAGTTGCCAAACGTCAGCCTCGAAAACTTAATGACTTGGAGAAGATCTGCAAAGAGGAGTGGGACAAAATCCCTCCTGAGATGTGTGCAAACCTGGTGGCCAACTACAAGAAGCGTCTGACCTCTGATTGCCAACAAGGGTTTTGCCACAAAGTACTAAGTCATGTTTTGCAGAGGGGTCAAATACTTATTTCCCTCATTGAAATGAAAATCAATTTATAACATTTTTGACATGCGTTTTTCTGGATTTTTTATTTTATTCTGTCTCTCACTGTTCAAATAAACCTGCCATTAAAATTATAGACTGATCATTTCTTTGTCAGTGGGCAAACATACAAAATCAGCAGGGGATCAAATACTTTTTTCCCCTCACTGTACATGACACACAATATTTACTAACCCATGAGGATGTGTGCAGCGACAGAACTTTTCAGTACCCTCAATGTGGTAACAGTTCAGACTAGCCTATAGGTGGCACTCTGGAGAGATCTCTGCTAGCTGAGCTAGTAAATTACACTGTCCAGCTACCCCTTTATCCTAATCCAAGACACTGACACCAAACCCAGATCTACATCCTTTCTGATCACAAGTCACTGCAACTTCTCTAAACCCCACAACCCAGTCTCTCTCAATTCCCCAGTCTTAGTATTCATCCACACACACACACATAGACAACTTGGAACAGACAGTCACACAGCTACAACACGTACAACACAGACATTCAAAATATATAGGCAACACAACCACATCTCCCCAACCCCAAACCATGGCTTACTTGACTTATAATACCCGCTGCTTGTTTCAGGGCTACCAAGCCCAACTCCATGCAAAAGCAAACTCTCCTGTATTCAGGACTGCCATTCAGTCGCAGTCCCAATGAAGTGGGGAACCAACATGCCGTTCTGCTCCTCCTGCATCACGATCAACATGAGAAAGTCCTAGCTGCCTGCCTCCTCACTACAGTCCCAAAACAAAATGGAAGAATAGAGATGGAGCCCAATTTTGTGGTGAGGAGCGCGTGTTCTATTTTGTGGCGGTGAGATGGGAAGGTCAGTGAAGGGATAGGGGGGGCTCCCCAGTCCGTCCGACAGGAAGCAATGCATTTGAGAAGGAGGCAGGTGGAAGACTGACAGAGGGAAGGAAGTAAACAGTTCCAATAAACATCACACACACTTAGTCTGTGCATTCTGCCACAATGGACAGCAGCACTGTGATGTCATCAGGCTTCCCCCCTGCAGGACACAAGACAAAAGAGAATGTGTCAATTGGCTTTCCAGAGATCAAAGTCAACCTTGAATGGCCCAATCTTCAAACTGACAGTGTTGCTGGAGGTGTTATTAGGGACGTAAAGGACTTCCCAAGAACCCGATACGTACCTCTTACATTCAGACCATTGTCACAGGCAAACTGAGCGAAAGGGGACATGTAGTTGGGGTCATAGGCCAGTTCATGGGCTTGCTTTGCAATGCTCTGTGCCGTCTGCTGGATGCTGTCATAGTTCGTGCTCTGAGAAATACAACCATTAGCATTAGGACCAAAGAAATGTGTGCAGGTATTTACTAAAGTGAATTTGTAAATATAAGAGAGTGTGTGCAAGCAGTTATGAGGTACTGTAATGTGTTACCTTGAGCTTCTTGAGCTCTTGCAGGATCATGTAGTCGGGCATGTTGTCGAAGAGGCCATCCGAGGCGGTCAGGATGATGTCACCCAGCTGGACGTCGAAGGAGGAGCTGTCAGCGGCCTCAGGGCTGGCGAAGAAAACACAGGACTGTCAGTCAGGACCAGTCAGAGGGCCCTAGAAAGCTGCTACCAGACAGACAGTACTAGTGCTCCTCACAAACAGAAATATGATCAGGAGGAAGCAGGTCAAAAGTGACTGTGCGCCAGAGGGACAGCTGATGCCTGGGTAATAAGACACTTGATTCCTCCTGGAACACAGTGCTGCCTGCCCTGCTCCAGCCCCACCCCCCAGGCCCAGCATGCTCACTGGCTCCTAGTAAGGTTCATTTCATGGGAGCTGGCTGTACCCTCTGCCCCTGATTAAGCCAAGACTGTTGTTTTATTCTAACCCGTCTCAGTTGACCTGGCCATCTTGGGCCTTGGCGTCAATGAGGACAGTTTGCGTCAACAGGCTGCCTGGAAAAGTCTGAGTAATTCAATGATGTGAAAAATGAATTTTACAAGATGGGACTCTAACTGCGCTTCGTCAGTCAGATAGGTACTGTATCTCCTCCTGAAATAACAGTTTCACCCTATTAAACCCCCTCCATGCCAGAAAGAGAGTAAATGTGAACACATGAGTCGGTGTGTGTGAGTTTGCTGAGAAGTATGCATGGGAGCATGAATTGTGACAATGTGCAAGTGTGCGTGTTCATGCAAAGTGAGACTGCAATATAAAACATGAAAGGTGTAGAAACACATGGAGGAGCTCAAAAGAATGCCTCTTCTTCCAAGATTCTTGGAGACAGAAAAAGAACATGCCCAGCGGAAAGGGGTCTGGGCGAGTAGGGCTGTGACTGTCGTGGAATTTTGGATGACGGTTATTGGTCAGCCAAATTACACTGGTCACTGTAATAACCGTTCAAATAGCAAAAAAACAACAACATAATAATAGTAATTAAATGCGGCCGTATGTTTGACACCCCTGGTCTAAAGCCAGTTCTCTACAGAAATGTTAATTTGAGACCAGGTGGAGGGTCAGAGAAGTGAGGGAGGTAGTCTGACCTGTCACTGAGTACTACTCCCTCTGCACCTGGGGGAGCGATGGACAGCTGAAAAGGGGTGTTGAAGTAGTGCTGCTGTTCGTCCGAGCGGTGCACCACCTCTCCCCCCCGCACCACCAGGAAACCAGAGTCACCTAGATTACATGTGTGCAGTTGATGGCTCCGTCGGTCCAGGACCACGATACAGGCTGTGCTGCTCCCTGGGGAAGAGGGGGGGGAATAGAAAAACATATGGTTAGCCATCACTTGATAGCCTTTCTCCTTGTGAGCAAGGAGTGTGTGAGATCATGTTGGATCAGTCAGTCTGGCACAGAGACCAAAAACAAATGCCATGTCCTTCCCCTGTCCCCACTCTGCAGCTCCTAGACTGCCACTGACCTTGAAGGGACAGTCAAACACAGACCTTTAGCTGCTCTCCCACTATCCCAAAATAAGAAACGGGTCACTTTTGAAAGACAAACATTGTGTGACTTGGTGGATAGCGGTGGCTCTCTTTGCAGGCAGCCTTGCCTGTGGTGTTGGGTCTAAGTTGAAATGTGGCCCAAGTCTGTCACATGCCAGTGCCTTCAAACAAACGTGTGGACCCGTGAGCAGTGTCAGTTACTGCTCCTTCCACTGACCTTTTAGGTGCTCTGCAATGGGGTGAAATGGTCACGAGGAGGGGGCTGCGGGAGTAGGGACTTTGCCAAATGTTTGTTCCAATGACTTCTGTGGAGTTGGACCTTAGAACTGGGTGGCGGCAGACTAAAGGACGGCACCATTTCAGTTACATGATCGATACAGTTACATATCGCAATATCATTTTGGACGATATTATATTGATACTGACTCCAAGTATCGATTTGTAAAAATAATAGACAATTATATATACACTACCAGTCAAAAGTTTGGACACACCTACTCATTCTAGGGTTTTCTTAATTTTTACTATTTTCTACATTATAGAATAATAGTGAAGATAACAAAACTATGAAAAAACACATATGGAATCACGTAGTAACCAAAAAAGTGATAAACAAATCAAAATATATTTTATATTTGACATTCTTCAAATAACCACCCTTTGCCTTGATGACAGCTTTGCACACTCTTGGCATTCTCTCAGCCAGCTTCATGAGGTAGTCACCTGGAATGCATTTCAATTAACAGGTGTGCCTTGTTAAAAGTTTATTTGTGGAATTTCTTTCCAAATGTTATAGGTGCAATGTTATAGGTCCCACCTACTGTATTGGCTGTGTTTCAGCCTGCTATTCTGTAGTATGAATTCATTGAGCCAATCAGTTGTGTTGTGACAAGGTAGGGGTGGTATACAGAAGATAGCCCTATTTGGTAAAAGACCAAGTCCATATTATGGCAAGAACAGCTCAAATAAGCAAAGAGAAACGACAGTCCATCATTACTTTAAGACATGAAGGTCAGTCAATACGGAACATTTCAATAACTTTGAAAGTGTCTTCAAGTGCAGTTGCAAAAACCATCAAGTGCTATGATGAAACTGGCTCTCATGAGGACCGCCACAGGAATGGAAGACCCAGAGTTACCTCTGCTGCAGAGGATAAGTTCATTAGAGTTACCAGACTCAGAAATTGCAGCCCAAATAAATGCTTCACGGAGTTCAAGTAACAGACACATCAACATCAACTGTTCAGAGAAGACTGCGTGAATCAGACCTTCATGGTCAAATTGCTGCAAAGAAACCACTACTAAAAGGACACCAATAAGAAGAAGAGACTTGCTTGGGCCCAGAAACACGAGCAATGGACATTAGACCGGTGGAAATCTGTCCTTTGGTCTGATGAGTCCAAATTTGAGATTTTTGGTTCCAACCACCGTGTCTTTGTGAGACGCAGAGTAGGTGAACGGATGAACTCCGCATGTGCGGTTCCCACCGCGAAACATGGAGGTGGTGTGATGTTGCTTTGCTGGTGACACTGTCAGTGTTTTATTTTAGATTTCAAGGCACACTTAACCAGTATGGCTACCACAGCATTCTGCAGCGATACGCCATCCCATCTGGTTTGCGCTTAGTGGGACTATCATTTGTTTTTCAACAGGACAATGACCCAACACACCTCCAGGCTGTGTAAGGGCTATTTGACCAAGAAGGAGATTGATGGAGTGCTGCATCAGATGACCTGGCCTCCACAATCACCCGACCTCGAACCCAATTGAGATGGTTTGGGATGAGTTGGCCCGCAGAGTGAAGGAAAAGCAACCAACAAGTGCTCAGCATATGAGGGAACTCCTTCAAGACTGTTGGAAAAGGATTCCAGGTGAAGATGGTTGAGAGAATGCCAAGAGTGTGCAAAGCTGTCATCAAGGCAAAGCGTGGCTACTTTGAAGAATCTAAAATGTATTTGTTTTTTTTTGGTTACTACATGATTCCATGTGTTATTTCATAGTTTTGATGTCTTCACTATTATTCTACAATGTAGAAAATAGTAAAAATAAAGAAAAACCCTTGAATGAGTAGGTGTGTCCAAACTTTTGACTGGTACTGTATATACACACACACACACACACACACACACCTTTTCTTGTTGCTAGGTAGCACTAGTCGGCTGTACCTGCACCAGAACTCCGGTATTGTCATCCTATAGCTTATTCTCAATCTTCTTTTTAAATTGTGAGCCAACATGTTTTCAGCACTTTTACTTCCATGACTGATCAAAACTCATTTTCTCATGTGCTCTCGTCTCTCTGCCGCAGATATATACGTAACAATATGTTTGGAACATCAAATCGCAATACATATGAAATGGTGAGAATCGCAATACATATCGTATCATCACCCAAGTATTGTGATAATATTGTAAGGTCCCTGGCAAATCCCAGCCCTAATGCTTAGGATGGAAGACATTTCAGCTTTGTATGATTATATTTTTGGATGGATTGATAGGAGTGCAGCTCAGTGGGCAGGGATACCCACAGGCAACGGCAAACACTCATGCTGCAGATACTGTATGTTATCTACTTACCTGAGCACGTGTGAACACTTTTGAATTTCCAGCAGAAATCAAATCAGAGAAGGGAAGAATCAATTTTAAACACAGAATTCTGAGGGAGAACCCGGCAAACACGACTGCTCACACAACAGGACTGTTACAAAACGGTTATTTTACACAGACCACACTACTGCCTGGCATACAGCTGTAACCAGGCATTTCAGCTATAGGACAAAGAAAGGCATCTGCAAGGGAAGGCAAATCCATTTTTTAGGACAGCGAAAAATACCAGGAAAACAGGTTTCTGACGGTAAACATGTACCAGAACGGCACTGTCATGGTCCAGGGCAGTGAGGCTGCACTCAGCTTTTTTGTACAGGACTTCCCCATCCTAAGGAAGATAGCAGAAACCAAAAAGGACAAGGACAGCACAGCGACCTCTCCCCTCACCTCAGGCACTCCAACAGCAGGTGCCCAGGCCACACAACAGGTCTGTCCTCCCCCCTGCCTGCCTACGACCACCAGAGCCAAGACCACAGTACCATCAGCCTGCTGAAAGACGGGCTGGCTCTGTTAGAGGTATGGGTTACTGAGCTAAAGGAGCAGCCCCCCAGCTACACCACCTCCAGCCCAGACACAGAGCTTCTATATGACCAGATCTACCAGTGCAGGACCCAGCTGAAGAACTCTGTCCAGGAGCTGAGAGAGGGCCTCACCACAGCGCTTCAGGAGGTAAAGGCCACCATGAGGAGAGAGCCTCACCACAGAGCTTCAGGAGGTAAAGGCCACCATGAGGAGAGAGCTGGTGCAGGTAAAAGAGGAGATGGTAAATGAGTTGTCTGTCATCAAGAGGGTGCTGCAGCATAGAGAACAGACTGTAGAGACCCCTAGAGAGAAGCTGCAGCCCCTCACCACCCCTAACACCCCCCCCCCACCCCCCAAACCGATCACCCTTTACCCACACCCCCAGTCAACAAGGAGGCTCACATGAGGACACCTACTACAGAGAGAAGCTCTCTGGCCCCCCGACACACCCCGACACACCCCTCCTTGTACAAAGGCCCTGTGTACCCCAGCCCTAGCCCCACACCGTAAACCCACTACTCTGGTAAAACCCACTGAGGTGGCCATCCTCATTGACTCAAATGGGAAATTCATCCAAGAGGATAAACTCTTCCCCCACCACAAGGTGTCCAAAATATGGTGCCCAAAAACGCAGGATGCACTCCACATCCTGTCCCAGGCTGACATTGGCAAACCAGGCCACATTATTATTTTTCACACCGGCACCAACAACGAGAGGAGCAGGAGAGAGTACCCAGCCTGGTCAACAGAGTAGCAGAGAGGGCCTCTGAGAGGTTCCCCAACTCCCACATCACCATCTCCACTCTGCTGCCCCGCCAAGACTTTCATCCCTGTACTATTCAGAAAGTCAACGCTGACATCACCAGAGGGTGTGGCCTACTCCCGAACATTGCTCACCACCCAACAATCACCCCAGACCATCTGCACGACCACTCCCACCTGAGGAAGCAGTGAGTAGGGATGTTTGCCAAGTCTCTAAAGGATGTGGCACTTGGTAGACAAACACCCCATGCCACACTGGACAGAGGACCACTCAGAGACCCCTACCAGACCACTGCACCACCAAGGAGCCCCAGGACCCCTCATAGCCCCACCAGACCCAGCACTTTCCTCAGGCCCCACCCACCACCAGAGCATCACCACTCCCATCGGCTTAGCCAGACTGGACCAGGCCCAGCCTACTACCCCGCACCAGACCACCACCTCTACCAGACCAGAGAGGAAGCCCCACGGCCCAGACCTGGCCCCCCTCCACTCCACAGGGCCCAACAGCAGGACCAGCGCAGCTACGCGGAGTGCGCACATCTGCACTAAATGTGCACACATACCTATTGTACTAAAAGTTTACTTGTTCAATGAAGAGTAATATAAAAAGTATTTGATCCCCTGCTGATTTTGTACGTTTGCCCACTGACAAAGAAATGATCAGTCTATAATTTTAATGGTAGGTTTATTTGAACAGTGAGAGACAGAATAACAAAATAAATCCAGAAAAACGCATGTCAAAAATGTTATAAATCGATTTGCATTTTAATGAGGGAAATAAGTATTTGACCCCTCTGCAAAACATGACTTGCACACATCTCAGGAGGGATTTTGTCCCACTCCTCTTTGCAGATCTTCTCCAAGTCATTAAGGTTTCGAGCCTGACGTTTGGCAACTCAAACCTTCAGCTCCCTCCACAGATTTTCTATGGGATTAAGGTCTGGAGACTGGCTAGGCCACTCCAGGATCTTAATGTGCTTCTTCTTGAGCCACTCCTTTGTTGCCTTGGCCGTGTGTTTTGGGTCATTGTCATGCTGGAATACCCATCCACAACCCATTTTCAATGCCCTGGCTGAGGGAAGGAGGTTCTCACCCAAGATTTGACGGTACATGTCCCCGTCCATCGTCCCTTTGATGCGGTGAAGTTGTCCTGTCCCTTAGCAGAAAAACACCCCCAAAGCATAATGTTTCCACCTCCATGTTTGACGTGTTCTTGGGGGTCATAGGCAGCATTCGTCCTCCTCCAAACACGGCAGAGTTGAGTTGATGCCAAAGAGCTCCATTTTGGTCTCATCTGACCACAACACTTTCACCCAGTCTCCTCTGAATCATTCAGATGTTCATTGGCAAACTTCAGACGGGCATGTATATGTGCTTTCTTGAGCAGGGGGACCTTGCGGGCACTGCAGGATTTCAGTCCTTCACGGCGTAGTGTGTTACCAATTGTTTTCTTGGTGACTATGGTCCCAGCTGCCTTGAGATCATTGACAAGATCCTCCTGTGTAGTTCTGGGCTGATTCCTCACCATTCTCATGATCAGTGCAACTCCACGAGGTGAGATCTTGCATGGAGCCCCAGGCCGAGGGAGATTGACAGTTCTTTCTTGTTTCTTCCATTTGCGAATAATCGCACCAACTGTTGTCACCTTCTCACCAAGCTGCTTGGCGATGGGCTTGTAGCCCATTCCAGCCTTGTGTAGGTCTACAATCTTGTCCCTGATATCCTTGGAGAGCTCTTTGGTCTTGGCCATGGTGGAGAGTTTGGAATCTGATTGATTGCTTCTGTGGACAGGTGTCTTTTTATACAGGTAACAAGCTGAGATTAGGAGCACTCCCTTTAAGAGTGTGCTCCTAATCTCAGCTCGTTACCTGTATAAAAAGACACCTGGGAGCCAGAAATCTTTCTGATTGAGAGGGGGGTCAAATACTTATTTCCCTCATTAAAATGCAAATCAATTTATAACATGTGTTTTTCTGGATTGTTTTGTTTTTATTCGGTCTCTCACTGTTCAAATAAACCTACCATTAAAATTATAGACTGATCATTTCTTTGTCAGTGGTCAAACATACAAAATAAGCAGGGGATAAAATACTTTTTCCCTCACTGTATATACACAGTTGAAGTCGGATGTTTACATACACCTTAGCCAAATACATTTAAACTCAGTTTTTCACAATTCCTGACATTTAATCCTAGTAAAAATTCCCTGTCTTATGTCAGTTAGGATCACCACTTTATTTAAGAATGTGAAATGTCAGAATAATAGTAGAGAGAATGTTGCAAAGAAAAAGTCCAGTATCTGTGTTCTTTTGCCCATCTTAATCCTTTCTTTTTATTGGCCAGTCTGAGATATGGCTTTTTCTTTGCAACTCTGCCTAGGTCAGCATCCCGGAGTCGCCTCTTCACTGTTGACGTTGATACTGGTGTTTTGCGGGTACTATTTAATGAAGCTGCCAGTTGAGGCATCTGTTTCTCAAAATAGACACTCAAATGTATTTGTCCTCTTGCTCATTTGTGCACCGGGGCCTCCCACTCCTCTTTCTATTCTGGTTAGAGACAGTTTGCGCTGTTCTGTGAAGGGAGTAGTACACAGCGTCGTATGAAATCTTCAGTTTCTTGGCAATTTCTCACATGGAATAGCCTTCAATTTTCTGAACAAGAATAGACTGACGAGTTTCAGAAGAAAGTTCTTTGTTTCTGGCCATTTTGAGCCTGTAATCGAACCCACAATTGCTGATGCTCCAGATAATCAACTAGTCTCAAGAAGGCCAGTTTTATTGCTTCTTTAAATCAGAACAACAGTTTTCAGCTGTGCTAACATAATTGCAAAAGGGTTTTCTAATGATCAACTAGCCTTTTAAAATGATAAACTTGGATTAGCAAACACAATGTGCCATTGGAACACAGGGCTGATGGTTGCTGATAATGGGCCTCTGTACGCCTATGTAGATTTTCCATAAAAAAAATCAGCCGTTTCCAGCTACAATAGCCATTTACAACATTAACAATGTCTACACTGTATTTCTGATCAATTTGATGTTATTTTAAATGGACAGAAAAATTGCTTTTCTTTCGAAAACAAGGACATTTCTAAGTGACCCCAAACTTTTGAACAGTAGTGTATATTTAGGCAAAACAAAACAAAAAAGACCACAGATGACAACTGGTTTGGTGCAGATTGTAAAATTAACCCATTTTAAAACACTATACAACACCGTTCAAATTGACACAAACGCAGAACAATGCTAAATTCATTAGAAGTTGAATGGATTAGAAAAAGCTATAAAAGGACAATCAAAATCCAGTGGACTCCCCAGTAACTGACCAGGAGCTCTATAAGAAACTTCAGGCCCTCAAATTTAAAAAAGCATGTGGACCTGATGGCATCCTAAATGAGATGCTCAAATTCACTAGTGCAAAATGTCAATTGGCTATATTAAAAAACTGTTGAATTTGATCCTGAGTGTAGGTTATTTCCCTGACATCTGGAATCAAGGACTCATAACCCCAATCTTTAAGAACGGAGACAAATTTGACCCTAACAATTACAGAGGCATTTGTGTGAACAGTAACCTGGGGAAGGTTTTCTGTAGTATTATAAATGTAAGAGTTCTAAACTTCCTTAATAAGCACAATGTCTTGAGTAAAAGCCAAATTGGAATTATACCAAAACGTCGCAAGACCGATCATATTTACACCCTACACACCCTGATAGATAAACATGTCCACCAAAATAATACCAAAATGTACGCTTGCTCTATCGACTTCAAAAAAGGTTTTGATTCTATTTGGCATTCAGGACTGTTCTACAAAGTTATTGAAGGTGGTGTAGGGGGTAAAACACATGACATAATTATATCAATACGTGCAGCATCAAATTGGCAAGAAAATAACATAATTATTTAAATCAGGGGCAGGGCCTTCGCCAGGATTGCAATCTGAACCCTGCACTCTTCTATATTTACATAAACGAATTGGCCACTATTCTAGAAAAATCCCCAGCTGCTGGTGTTAGTCTCCACAATTCAGAGGTTAAATGCCTGCTCTTCACAGATGACCTATGCCTGCTGTCACCCACAGCACATGCCCTACAGCAGAGCCTGGACCTGCTAGAGCAGTACTGCCAGACCTGGGCCCTGGCAGTAAACCCCAAAAATACTAAAATAACGATTTTCTAGAGAAGACCTAGATCTCAGGGAATTAGACCAAAGTTCTCAATTGGTACAAAATATATAGAGTACTGCACACACTACAATTACTTAGGTTTAAAAATAAGCTCAACTGGACACCTTAATGATGCAGTGAATGAACTGAGAGAGAAAGCACACAGGGCATTCTACACCATTAAAAAACAAATTCAAATACCTATTAAAATATCTCTAAAACAAATTGAATGTGTCATTGAACCAATTGCACTTCATGGCAGCGAGGTGTGGGGTCCACTTGCAAAACAAGATTTCACCAAATGGGACAAACAACCCATTGAAACCCTGCATGCAATCTGTTGTATTTTTGACTTTATGTTTTGTTTACCCCATATGTAACTCTGTGTTGTTGTTTTTAATCGCACTGATTTGCTTTATCTTGGCCAGGTCGCAGTTGTAAATGAGAACTTGTTCTCAACTGGCTTACCTGGTTAAATAAAAGGTGAAATAAAAAAATAAAAAAATAATGCAGAGTTCTATAAGATTCTCCTACATGTCCAGAGGAAAACTACAAACAATGCATGCAGGGCAGAATTAGGCCAATCTCCACTATTAATAAAAACTCAAAAAATAGCAATTAAGTTTTGGAAACATCTAAAAACACAGTGACCCCCTCTCATATCATTACCAAGCCCTGCAATGCCAAGAGCTGAGCAAAGACAATAGTCCCCTCATCCAGCTGGTCCTGGGGCTGAGTTCACAAACCTGTTCTACTAACACACTGAAGCATCAGGACCAGAACATCCAATCAATCAGAATAAACCAAATTACAACACAGTCAAAACAAAACTACATTGCTTATTGGGAAACACAAGCACTAAGTAAAATGCAGTGCTATCTGGCCCTAAACTGACAGTCCACCGTGGCTAACTATTTGACCATGGTGTCATTAGTGTCATTTACCCAAATTTGAAACAATTTTTCAAGGTTTCAAAGACCTCTCTGATGAGAATAGGCTACCCGTCCTGTTGGGGGAGGACGCACAGAGCTGTGGGTTGGCAGCGCACTACATTGCTGCCTGCCATAAGATGAGGGACAGCGTCTGACAGACCAACCAACCTGCACATGTCCTCTATATTGTTATTGTTCAATGGTTATTTTGACCCTTGGTTATTGTTGTCCCATTGACAATATTGATTATTATTATTTTAATAGTGTAAATATCAAAAGAGAGAGAATGTGTGTTTTGTGTTTGCTCACCGAGCAGGGGTACTTTGTTCTGTAGGAGCTCGTAGTAGCCTGAGGTGAGGATGCCCACAGGGCTGCTGGGGGTGAAGCGGCCCTCCTTCACCAGCCGCTCACACGTCCTCATCAGGGTAGCAGAGAACTGGGACGGGTCCACCCCGTAGTCCCTCCATCCACCTACACCATCCGCCACACCTGAGGCACACAGAGCAAAAGGAAAGTGTATAAGTATCAGAACAGTGAATGATTATCTTTGCCATATTCTACCATCAATGTTGTAATACCACCAAGTAAAGTACCAATGTTGTCAACTCCTACAAAGGGGTTGGAGGTCAAACCCTGCACAAAGGGGTTAGAGGTCAAACCCCGCCTTCACGCTCTCTTTCACACACCCTGGCTGTCTGGCTGGGCATTGTGTTTTGTCATTGTAAGTTGCAGCTGTTCGCTGTTCCCAGTTGCATGGTGACAAGAGACAAAGACCAGACATCCATCCTCTGGTTACCACTGAACAGACAAACTACTCATCAACTCACATCACTGTCTGGACTACAGCAAGAAAGAGAAATAACCAATCCTTAAACAACACCAAGTAATAGTACAAAACAATACAAGCCACGAGCTGCTCTAAACTGCTCATCCTGGACCTAGGCATTTCACTGCAGATTACCCAAAGGTACACGAGTGACACAAAATTAACAAATCGAATTACACCACTCGATTCAAATAGAAAATGATGGACATGCAATTGTTGAACAAACCTGCCAATGCTTAACTCACCGACAAAGGAGGAGTGAGTGAGTTCAGAGTGAAATCAGGGGCCCCTGCCTTGATTTACAGCTGTTTGACCCACCCGGTGATAACATGCAGGCAATTCCACGTTAACAGAATGATGCGGAGACTCAGATTTTTCACTTTAAAATGTATGCCAAACAAAAACCAATGAATGCGAAGTTTAAAAGTTTAAATGCAGCTGTTTTTATCTCATTATGAAATCATTTCTGGGTAACAATTAAGTACCTTACTATGATTTCAATTCAAATGGTAAAAAAAGAAAGAAAAATAGCTTCTTAGCAAAGAGCATTTTCTCAAGCAATAACTTTTCTAGGACTGTCTGGGAGTAGTCTGGTTGGGAGGGGAAAACTGAAAACTAGTTTTTATTGGCAGAGAGGTTTGGAACTTTCTTATTGGTCTATTATCTAATGTATTGCCTGGTGATATCACCAGACAGGCCAAACATTAAAACAATTTTCTCTGTCACACTCAGTCATAACACACGTGCCTGGCTGCAAAAGTGCATTGTGAGTGATGTCAGCAGCAGGCGCTCAGCTCGTGCACAGGCAGCCGCAGGCCAGCAGCAATTTCAGCAAATTGCAAATCATTGTTGGCTGACTGCAGCAGCAGTAATATGCGTTCGACGAGACAAACCCAATGAATATAGTTGGTCACGGATGTTTGATCTTGAACAGAACTTACAACATCAATTAACATGTCTAAATCAAAATTGTACAGCCAAAAGTACAGAAAAGAGTGGGAGTCTGTACCTGAATTTAAAGGGTGGCTGAAGCCAGAAATTGGGGATGATTGTCAGGCATACTGTGCATACTGCAAATCAGATATGCTTGCAAAAATGTATGACATCAAAAAACATTGTGCTACAGCAAAGCATATAAATAAATCAGTTGGTTAAGAAAGTGGATAACTGCAAAAGCGCAGATGTTACTATGGCAATGGCCATTGCAGAGCATTGTTCGCTGCTAGCATGCGACCATTTAGGTATGACTTGCAAAGCTGCCTTTTCAGATTCTGTGGCAGCAACAAACTTCCAAATGCACCAAGTGCACAGAAATTATTAGGGGAGTACTGGCTCCTTATTTTCTCAAAAGGGTAACATCAGATGTGGGGGATGAGAAGTTCTGTCCACTGATGTCAGTGTCTCGAAATACCTGGGTGTGGTGATTCGGTATTTCAGTGCTAAAACAATAACTGTTGTGTCCACATTTCTCGAGCTGGTTGAATTGGAGGGGGCGATGCCAGATCAATAGCAAAGGCGGTAGTTGAGTTTCTTGAGAAGTGTAACCTTAAAAAATAGAATATTCAGGGTATTGGCACTGATAATGCGTCCGTGATGACTGGGGTGCACAAGATTTTAAAGGAAGAATGTGCATTGCCCAATTTGGTACTCATCCGGTGTGTGTGCCATTCTTTACAATTGGCCGTCAGTACATTATCCAAAGAAACCATCCCTAGGAGTGTTGAGTACTTAAATCAGGGAAACCTACAACTGGTTTTCGAGTTCCCCAAAACGGCGCGAGGCGTACAAAGCAGTGTATGCCACCATTAATTGTGGCCAGAAATCCCTGCAGATCACCAAAGTGTGTGCCACACGTTGGCTATCGATTGAGCCTGCGGTAACTCGTTTATTGAGCCAGTGGGAAGAACTGAAACTCCACTTTGAGTTGACCAAGGCCAGTGAGCATTGCTACATGGCGGATGTGCTCCACGCCATGTACAAGACCAACTATGTCTACCTGACATTCTTGAAATCAATCCTGTCCGATGTACAAGTTGCCGTGAAGTCATTTGAGGGAGAGCAAACAGATTCTGTTAAGCTTTTGGACAATCTGGTACACCTCTTAACATCAACTTGCAGCAGAGTAGTCAACCCTATGGCAAAAATTGATGTCCTGAAGGTTGCCATTGATGGACATCTCAGTCCATAACCATACCTTGGGTACCTTTTCGAGAGCACAGTGTACCAACTCAGTCTTGCGCCAGAGGACGAAAAGGTCATTCGGAGACAGTGCACCAACTACATTGTTGCTTTAAGCAAGGAGCAGCAAGCAAGGCTCCCAGACAACCTAGAAGCCTTGCAAAACATGGCCTTGTTCAGTGTTAAGGAAACGCTAAAGCACAATAAAGGCACCACTGAAATTCTTAAAGTAGCTGAGCTACTGGGGTACCAGCCACAAACAATTGATACAAACATCCATCTGTTTAGGTGGGACTCAACTGAAAATACAGTCGAGTTTTGGAGTGAAGTAAATAACTACACAGACTCTTCTGGGTCAAATCCATTTGAAGAACTGTGCAAAGCTGCACTCGCTGCCCTCTCCTTGCCACACTCAAATGCGGAGGTTGAACGGCTGTTCAGCCAAATGATGTATGCAAGGAGTGGACTTCCTGGAACTGGCGGAGACACACAGCTGATGGTGGCAGTGTGCACTGCAGTGTGAGCGAGAACAGTGGCAATATCTGGAGGAAACAATTGAGCAGCTAGCCAGCCAAGCAGCACAACAACCTGGAGAGAGATGCCTAGTGCACACATCATTATTTGAGTTAAGTTGCTTGTTCAATAAGATCGCATATATACCTTGTTATTAGCTTATACCTATAATTGTTGATCAGTTAGGTAGCATGTTAACTAACTACCAATACACTGCTAAAAACTATACTTGTTCAGAATGTGTAGGTTTACTAGTTAAAAAGAAAATTAATAAAATGTAATTGTTCAATAATATGTAATGTGTAATTCTTCAATAATTCAACGTGTTGTGTTTTTTAAAAGAATTGTTGATCATATAAAGTGTTGTGTTTATAACTTTTACAAATAAAAATATGTGATAATAAACAAACAAATCTAAACTAACAAATGTCAAATCATATTTTCCGCCAAGATGGCCAGTCAATTTGAGTAACGTTATTGTGTATTCTACGTAATGACGCAATGACAACGTCATTATGCAACTTTTAGCAACAAATTGACCTGCCACTAGCCTATTCCCCCTCAGGAGACTGAAAAGATTTGGCATGGGTCCTCAGATCCTCAAAAAATTATACAGCTGCACCATCGAGAGCATCCTGACTGATTGCATCACCGCCTGGTATGGCAACTGCTTGGCCTCCGACCGCAAGGCACTACAGAGGGTAGTGCGTATGGCCCAGTACATCACTGGGGCCAAGCTTCCTGCCATCCAGGACCTCTATACCAGGCGGTGTCAGAGGAAGGCCCTCAAAATTGTCAAAGACTCCAGCCACCCTAGTCATAGACTGCTCTCTCTGCTACCGCACGGCAAGCGGTACCGGAGTGCCAAGTCTAGGTCCAAAAGACTCCTTAACAGCTAATCATGGCTACCCGGACTATTTGCACTGCCCCCCCACCCCCACCCCATATTTTTACGCTGCTGCTACTCTGTTAATTATTTATGCATAGTCACTTAACTCTACCCACATGTACATATTACTTCAACTACCTCAACTAGCCGGTGCCCCCGCACATTGACTCTGCACCGGTACCCCCCTGTATATATAGCCTCTCTACTGTTATTTTATTTTACTTCTGCTCTTTTTTTCCTCAACACTTTGTTATTTTATTTTACTTTTTTATTAAAAATAAATGCACTGTTGGTTAAGGGCTGTAAGTAAGCATTTCACTGTAATGTCTGCACCTGTTGTATTCGGCGCATGGGCCAATAAAAATGTATTTTATTTTATTTGAAACTGCCCCTGAAAATGAGTTGGCAACACTGACACGGAACCCCCTCTGCTAGCTTAGCAACACTCTTTGTTGGTGCCTAAAACACAAACACACACTTCCATACACACACACAGATGCATGTCCTACACCACCTTCCACAGCAGCACATAGTACAGGCCCAACGCTACTCTCGCCATGGCAAAACGGGCATTTCCAAGAGATTAAGAACTACATTGACATTAAAACTATATTGGGTATAGGGAGGTCTATAATGATCAGCAGAGGCCAGGTTGGAATCCTCCCCGTCCACAGATTTTGTTAGCCAAACACAAGTAATATAGCACCCAGGTGGGACACTGTATACATAAGCCCAGAGCCAGCAGTCTCTGTGGGTGTTTGATCCTGTCTCCTGTCTCCATGACCAGTTAATTAGCCACAGAGGAAAGCAGCTCAGCCTCAGCCCCTGACCTGATGTGGTCCATCATGAGAAATCAGTAGACCTGAATGTGAGCACCACTGTATTTCCCTAAAGCATGAGCAGACTAAAGCTATCCATGTAAAAACTCCCAAAAGTATCATCACTAGACACAATGAGCATACTGAAGAGCTTTGCTGCAGTAATGTTTCAGGTCCAAGGTTCCCGCTGGTAGAGGCAGGCAGTAGCCTACACTAGACATCCAACCATTTCATTTTAGTTCGGCACGACTTGTTGCAATGTCTCATCCTGCTCTTCTACCAGTCAAATAGGGCATGTTTTTGAAAGGCATCTCATTCACTGCCTTAACATAATGCAGAGTTAGGCCTACATCCTATCAAGAAAACAGGGCAACTTAAACCAAGCTAAAATGATGAACTAGCCTAACCCTAACTATATTCAATGAGGTACAAAAGAGTGTTACAGATAGAAATGTATTCCATAAAACTGCTAGTTATTTGTTACACATGGATGTTGTGTAAGTCTCCTGAGTGGCGCAGTGGTCTAAGGCACTGCATCGCAGTGCTAACTGTGCCACTAGATCCTGGTTCGAATCCAGGCTCTGTCGCAGCCGGCCGTGACCAGGAGACTCATGGGCAGCGCACAATTTGCCCAGCGTCGTCCAGGGTAGGGGAGGGAATGGCCGGCAGGGATGTAGCTCAGTTGATAGAGCATGGCGTTTGCAACGCCAGGGTTGTGGGTTCGATTCCCACGGGGGGCCAGTATAAAAAAAAAATGTATTCACTAACTGTAAGTCGCTCTGGATAAGAGCGTCTGCTAAATGACTGAAATGTAAATGTGTAATTCTGCTCATTCTGAACAGGGCAGTTGATAATCGTGATGTACATTCCACGCGACAGTCTATCTGTTCATGCTAACATTTTTACGTTTAGAATGAAAGTGTTTTTTAGGTATGATTTAGTTTGTTGATTAAGATGACATGGAAGTATGTAAAAAAATAAATAATGGCTACCAAGCATATCCAAAATGTTTATAGAATGATTAAACGGCCTTCCGAGGGGCGCAGCGCTCTAAGGCACTGTATCGCAGTGCTTGAGGCGTCACTACAGACCGGGGTTCGTTCCCAGCCTGTGTCACAACCAGCCGTGACCTGGCATCCCATAGGGCGGCGCACAATTGGCCCAGGGTCTTCCGGATTAGGGGAGGGTTTGGCCGGGGGGGCTTTACTTGGCTCATCTCGCTCTAGCAACTGCTTGTGGTGGGCCGGGAGCCTGCAGGCTGACTTCAGTCGTCAGTTGAACTGTGTTTCCTCCGACACATTGGTGCAGCTGGCTTCCGGGTTAAGTGGGCGGGTGTTAAGCGTGGTTTGGCGGGTCATGTTTCGGAGGACGCATGACTCGACCTTCGCCACTCCCGAGCCCATTGAGGAGTTGCAGAGATGAGACAAGATCGTAATTGGATCGCAATTAGAGATCACAAAATTGGGGAGAAAGGGGGAGAAAATAAACAAATGATTAAAAAAATAATAAAGCTGTTGTCGGATTATGAGTAAAGTAGGCAATTTAACAACAGGAGTAACGGGAGTACCCTACAGCTGTACCCTACTCGGGGGCGTGGTCACGTTAAGCCCTGCCTCCTTTGTGTATCTATGAGTGGGTTCGATAAATCCCACCTGGGCGCCCGTGTAGGCGTGTTTTGCATCGGCTGAAAGTTGATGGCATCCAATTTGGAACCTGGCTGCCTCCGGGGCGTGAGCCAGATGCGCCTTCAATGCCCATGGCAAAGTCCGCTCAAAAAAAGTAATTAAGCATGTGTAGTAATTACTAGGATTCTGAGTTCCCATGCAAAAAATATTGCTTTTTGATAAAAAGTCTTTACCTGCCTTCCCAATGAAAATTTGAAATTCAAACATGTATTTTATGGAAAAGAGATGTTGTATGTTTCTGGATGATGTACCATACAGCCTTGTTGACAAAATGACCGAGCCACACAGATTACTGTTAGATTGGAGAAGGGCTCTCCTCCCTCCCCCTTTCGCCCATTGTTTAACGGGCCATAGACTTGTGCCCCGTGGCTTAGCATAATCGAATCCGCCCTATATGATGTTGGTCCGTATACACCGGATGCAACCCGGATATAGACGGTCCATGAATCGTCGTATGCAAACGTCAGTAGATTACCTTGAAAACAACAGGCGGACATCTCGGACGTAGTCTCTAGTCCTTATTATATCGCAGTGGTGCAACCCTGCTTTAGGCACCGTTCTGAATGTGAAGTGTGACATCTGGTAAATAAGAACTTGATAATGATATGGTCGGACAACCGGTAAAACGACAACACACGGTCGATTGCTGTAAGGACAAAAGCACTTCCCCCTCATGAGTCTGTGAAACGTGAATGTGTCCTGGAAACATGGCTGCCTCCATGCTCAACCATTCTGACCTTTAGAAAACATGGGATAGCGAGTTTCCCCTAAGCGTGTGTGAAATGTGTAAACAAAATAGGCTACGGCTAATGAATATTAAGCTATAGGCTATCATAACAGAACGATACATTTTGTTTAACTCTTCCAACAAACCGTATTGTTCTTAGCATCGAATGGCGGCACAATTTGTAGGCTAACAATTTATAGCCACAATCAACCTGCGACTTCCACATTTGTCACGCTATGAAATAGTTGTGTATACATTGTATAACTTTGTATACATGTTCACAGTATCGCCACTAGTAGCGCTGGTAGGAGTGCTTGTCCAGAAAAAATGTATTTAGGTGAAAGGTCTTTACAATTCATCTTCAACAAAGTATACATTTTTTGTAACTCTTAGCGCAATGTTTCTCGGTGGTTTATAGACCTACAGACCACAGCTGTAGCCTACCGTAGAAGGCAAGCATCGGAAAACACAGTGCCAACTTTTAAGACGATAGAGGTTAAATCAGGTAAGGGGTAGGGATAGGGAATATCCCCTTGTTTTCGTGACATGGGTTGGCGACACGTGCTAGGCTACATATTTAAGGTAAAATATGGAAAATGCTATAGGCCTATTATCCCCCAAAATACCTTGCATATTTCACGGTGGCTTTTGTTTTCTTATAATAAACGATTAGGTTACTTTAACGGTGTCTTTACCAAACAGATAATGGGAATATTAAAGTGAGACTTACCCAATACATCGGCGGACCTATGCCGGGCAATGAAACAAGCGTCATCCCCGTAGCACATTCCTTTCTTCAAGATCCCTTTACGAAAGTCTTTCCCAAACCCACAACTAGCTGTGACCAGGCTGTAATCCCGACCATCAGTTTGAGAGAGTCCGCTAAGGACAGCCCTCGCAACTAGTCTTCCATAGGAGAGTACGGATAACATTCCTCAAGAGCGAGCGCCCGTATCTACCTGCGGAGCCCTTCACTCTCCACTCCACTCTCGGCCTAGCCTACTTTTGGAGACTATTCGACTTCCACCATTCGTTTTGGATACTTCTGCCACTGTATAGGCTAAAACGCGAGTCAGAGAGGTAACACAACCGTAGAAAAGGGTCCCGGAGTATGTCCAATTCTTTTGAAGGGTCAAATTGCACTGGTTCTTTAGGTTTTGGTGGATTTCATTGATTTTCCGGTGTGCACAATCCTTGCGGACATGTTTCCAGTCACACACAAATGCACGCCGACAGCGCAATACCGGTCCTCCAGTCTTGTGATTCCTCCGCCAGACGTCACATCTGCGCACGCAAATGCAGGCTCTCTCTACATTAATCAAAGATGATCTATTATACTTGACAAGATGGTCGACTGACCGCTCTAACAATGGAAATACATGTCCGCAAAGGCGAATGTCAGGCGAGATCAGGTGGGAACGGTCTAGTTAATGATCTGTTGTAGAAAACATACCAATACACTCGTAACAACCTAAGCATTATTCAGCTTCTATTCGATCAAATAAGCCTCACCTATCAAAATAGCAATTCACTTGATCAAATGTAACACTCATTGCCCCCATAAAAAAAACACCATCCTTGGTCTGCTTAATCTGCGCGGACAGATTTTGGGCGGAGTCGACCCTGTCGCTTCGCCTCTTCCTCTTCTTCTTTGATATAATGGCGTTCACAACAATTATAAATGCATTCCGCCACCTACTGTACAGGTGGATAATAAGGGTCTAAAAACATAAAAATAAATTTTAAAAATGACATACAAACTATCAGTAACGAAATGTTAAACTAAATCTGCCTGCTTTTCTGTTTTAATCAGGTCCCTACACAGGCTCAGAAGGATTCTGTGATGGCGGGACATTTCCAGGCGACAGTGGTCCTTGTAGTGCTTCTGCTGTTAAGTCTTGGAGGCCCAAAAACGTATCGGCTGCATTTATAATGATGTCCAGCTTCTTGGACTTCTGTGACACTTGTGCAGTACAATTAATAACTGTGGCTATAAATGCTACAAAAGCCACCTTTTTCACAATAAGTGTATCCAGATCACTTGATTGAAGTATAACATTTGCAACTGGTTGTGGTGCAGCCACCGCCATATCTTCTTCAGAACTGTGGCCTCTTGCCCCTTCAATGTTCTTCATCCAGTTTTGCAGGAACGCTCATATGGCGTATCTTATATATCCCAACTTTACATAGGGTGATAAATACTCATTAAACATAAATTATACATATAAACTTTGCTCCTTTTTCCCATTCTCCATACGGGTCAAGCGACGTGCATTAACTACTCCTGGAATTTTTAGCCTAAGATATTGATTATCAATGTCCAACGGGACTCCAGAAATAACACCTTTTACCGGTGCCCTCATGTTTTTGTTACTCAGCACTATCAACACTTTTTATTCAGTACTTTTATAAGCCATAAAATGTGCATTCTCCGTACTTCCACTCACGGGACAACCAGTACTGCAGCTGTAATGAATGAGTAGTAAAGTGTATGGATAGGCTTGCATTGTTATTATTATCGGTTTGTGTTTTTTTTTATATCAAGGAATATTTCACTTTCTCTGTTCATAGGAGTAACAACATGAATTTGTGCATGAGGCAGAAATAATGCGGTGCGACTCGAGTTTCGCCATCAGCTGGAAGACAGTGTGTCATTTGCATCAGCGGGTCAGCATCAGCAGAGGAAAGGGAGAGTGGAGGGATGTTGAGAGGTGGACCTTTATCAGTCTGGTGCTCTTCCCCTCCACTGAGACTGACCATCAGATGGAGCAGGCACCTTCAGCCCAGTAAAATAAAAATAAAAAGCAAATTATTTAAATGTATGCTCACTCAGCTGTGCCTCACAAGTAATACAACAACAACGGATCTATTACTGGTGTGATGATATAGCCTACCTCAAATTTTGAAAAAAAATTATATATATTTTTTTTAATGGTCCAAACAGCAATGCATTGGCAGGGCAATTCAAGCAAAGCTAATATGCGGTGATAATGTATTGGGCCTATTGCCTACCTCACAAACCTCATTGCTACAGTACTGTTTTTAATAGGATTACGTTTTTTAAGTCATGTTCCAAAAAAATCTGAGTGGTAGCTCTCTGCTTGCATTTTGACTCAGAAAGTGATCTTGACTCAGAACAGGTTGGTGACCACTGCCCTATAGAGTACCACAGTATGAGTCATAATACTGTTAAGTTGCGTCAATTCAAATCTGGTATTGGAACAAAAGAGGTCAACACGACTTCTAAGAAATACTAGTATTTTAATTAATGCAAACACTTGAATGGTAAATATGATGTTCGTATATACGGGCCCACTGAAAAACCACGCAGGGCAGTCAGAGAACTGAGCCACTGTTATAAGTTCTTCTTTAAATACTCTGACAGAGATAGGCCTGCTTAGAGCAGGAACTATCAGAGTAGAGACTGAGCGTGGTTTTAGACTTACTCAGCCTATCGTTGGCGCACAGGCTGATCCCAGCCCCTTGGCGCTTCACTGTTGCCAGGCATTAGTTGTTATCTCCACAACTTGTCTCGAGTCAGCAACCTCAGACATCTTTGTAGCAGAACACGTCCTTGAGCGGTTTAACAAAGAGGCAGTGTGTGTGTGTATGTGAGTCACAAGTCTGTCTCAGCCTACCCCCATAACGGTTCCTCACATTAATCACAGCTTGTTATGTTAAACAATCTATATCAGTACAGCACAAACCTATTATGTTTAATCATTAATGTATTCTTTCTAAGCTAGGCATCACATCAAGTTATAAGAAAATAGATCCCCACAATACCCATAAAACCTAGTCATTCAAACACAGAAATGGTTCCAATTGTTTTTCCACCAGACATTTTTCCCATAGGGCAATAGTTACCAACCTTTTCTGAGTCAAGATCACTTTCTGAGTCAAAATGCAAAAGATCTACCCTCAGATTAGTTAAAAACATGACTTAAATAACGATAACCGTGTAATTCTCTTTCGGACAAGGTGACTTTTATCAATATATTCGCCTACCCCCCCAAAATGAAATGCTAATTAGCGTATAATGTGGCTATCACACAGAACTACAAATGCCTGTCTCAAGCTTCACATTACTTGCCAGGGCCATGATGAGCTGGACGAGACTGCTGAATCGAGGCAAAGGTAAGAATCTCTGGATTAACTATCTAATGTTAGCTAAATTTAGTAATAAATAAAATTGCCTACATTTGTTTAAATTGATAATTCGGTCTCCTAGTTTGACGGACACCACCCCCGTTCGAAAAATGTGTTGTGGAGTTTACGGCATATTTAGTTGCTACCCCATGGTTTATGCTGCAGCGATATAAATGATCAACGCATTTCAAATGTGATTGTCGGGGTCAGAGGAGATGGCAGAAGTGCTGGTCCATGGCGTGCAGTTGAGTGAAGTCGGTGCGAATAAATGGAAGACAGTGACAACGGAAAATGAAGCAAAAAGAGCGAAAGTTGTAAACGAACATCAGTTTTTTGTAGGAGTGCGATTAATCAACAATTATGTATTTCTGGGGGATGCATTTCAGGTCACGAAGATGGTAAAGGAGGCATTAGGAAAGGTAGAGTCAGTCAGAGTGACCAGCAGTGTTTTTGTTTTGATTTCCTGCATCTCGAAAGAGCAGAAGGAGAAAGCATTATGGCTCTATAAATGATCAGGATCTGAAGTGGAAAGTTTAGATTTTCGGAGCAAAGCACCAATAAAATATGTTATATCTGGAGTCTCGTTGGACATTATGACTAGTTATCTGACAAAGCAGATTCCAGGAGTCGTTGGAGCACATCGCCTAAACCGTGTAGTAGATGGAAAGAAGGAGGAAAGTGAATCGGTGTTTGAAGAGGAGTACCTGCCTACTCATGTGAAGCTGGGATACATAAGATACGCAGTGAGAGCGTTTCTGAATAAACCTTTGCAGTGTCGAAATTGCAAAAGGTATGGCATGTATCAAGTGTGTGACGACAGAAGCAATATGTTGGTGAAGAACGTGATGATCTACGGTGATGCAATTGTGGTGGAAATCACGTCGCCGAATTTATGGAGTGCACCGCTAGAGTGAAGGAGTTTGAAGTAGCACTGATCAGGGCTGTAAAGCAGGTCTCCTACACAGAGGCACAGAAAATTGTTGAAGGAGCGAGTGGAGCTGAGGAAGCTATGGCAGTGGATGCCCAGCAGCCAGTTGAGATTCAGAATATCATACATCAGTTGTAGGATACAGATACATTGATAGTGAAGAAGGTGGATTGTGTGCCATTTATTGCGCAAGTGATTAATTGTACTGCCCAAACGAGCAAGAAGTCCAAGAAGCTGGACATAATTGTATCTGCGGCTGCAAGGTTTTTGGTTATTCAAGAATTAACAGCTAAAACATTGCAGGGAATACTGACTGAAGATGATCCCCTTTCCCAGGCTCCTGAGCCTGTGCAGGGGTGTGATTTGTATTGGACTATAACTGAATGAGTGGGATGGGGTTTTTGATAGATTATTTTATTTTATTTTGTATGATGTTGTTTTTATTTTCCATTTCTGTAATGGATTTAAATGTTTTCTCCAGTTCACTACCCGTACAGTTGGTGGCGGCATTCACATAAAATTTGTGTGAACGCCATTATATCAGAGAAGAAGAAATTGACAATTCTGTGGACTGTCTTGGGCAAGTTTGAAATTTGCACAATAGTCCCCCACAGTGGGCATTCCATAATACCCATAAAACCTAGCGGTCAAACATGGAAATGGATCCAATCGTTTTTCCACCATTCATTTTTCAGATAGTGAATTTGACAAACATTTCAAATTAAATATGTGTTTGGTGTAGGCTTAACTTGGTGTGACGTTTTGATAACCGTGTAATTCTCTCTCGGACAAGGTGAGTTTTATCAATATATTCGCCTCAATTTACTCAAAAATATTTGAAATGCTAATTAGCAACAGAGGAGTCCTCAGCAAGTCTACAAATTCTTGCAGAAGCTCCTGCACGTCATCTCTAGCCGACAATGTAAGCTACCATTCACTCACCAGTGCGATTAGACCTTCTGTGCCCAATCTGTGATGAACCCATGTGCTGTATTGAAATGAATTGAATAAAGTGTTGAACTTCTTATATCCCCTTTCTGTCTTAGCTAGCCACTGACTACACTTTAGCTAGCTAGTAAGCAGGGCAGTAGATCAAAAAATACTTTTGTTTTACTTAGCCTAGATCATTGTTTGTACAGTATATCGACTTTGGTATCGATTTCAGACCTTATGGCATTTTTCAAGGATG